CGCCTGGGGTGGGAACAGAAGCAGCCTTCTTCTCAACTTCCCACTTCAGGTAAGTACTGTAGTTCCTTCCCTTTATGTCAGGGGATGACTCCTGGGTCCCCATGACCCTCCCCTATGGCCCACAGCCTCAAGTCTGGCTAGCCCAATCCAAGGCACAATCCTACTGTGGGTCAGAGATGGTATATAGAAGAGAGGCAAGTATATACATACAACTTGCCTACTGTGGGTCAGAGATGAGAAGGAAGTTAACTTCTCATCTTCCCACAGTGGCCACAATAGATCGAAAACTTCTGGAGATATCCAGAAGTCACATGAGACCTGAGACCCGAGGTCCAGGCCATCCAGCTGCACTGAGCGTCTAGCACAGGGCACACGTGGGAAGTGCAACAGCTGGGTGTGGGCATGGGTGCAGGTGTGAGTGCGGGTGTGGATGCGGGTATGGGCTAGGTCAGGGTGTATGCCCTGACACTTTAGTGATAATCCAACTTCCCACTTCAGACTAAGTGGTTGGGGACGCTCACCCCATGACAGGACCGCTGCTATGCATAGCCAACACCTGTCCCATCGAGTCCCTTGCACTGGGACCTTGCTGCTTTTGGAGCTGTCCCTGACACGACCCCACATGTATATAATAACAGTGAAAGGTTGCTTACTATTTTGGGGACGGTAACGTTCCGTTCCCCCGTTCGCCTCAGGCCTCAGTAGGTCCATCTAAACATAAGCTTTGATGAGCTGTATATTCAACAGGGTAGAGGTAAAGGCTACCGGGCCTTTACAACTACTGTACCCACACAACCAATTACCGGTCACGCATCACACGCACCTTCCGGTCCGGCTGTAAGTGGGCTGTTGTCACGCATCACACTGACCTTCCGGTTGAATGATCCTTGTCACACCATTTTTTTTTTGGTGCCTAAGTGGCTGTGTGAAATCAGATTAAATTCAATGAAAACAAAAGCCATCTGCAAGGAAGAGTTTTTTTGGTGTAAAATGTATCAACATGAAAATTTGCCAGTTGGACATTTCCAGCGCCACTGTGGCTGGTGTCACACCAACCTTGCCACCTCTTCCGGTTGCTTGTCACACGTCACAAGGAGAAGCCGGTTGACTATTTTGTGTCACACTCGGAACCTCAGCCGGTAATTGGTCGTGTGGGTACAGTACTCCGAGGTATATATATGTAATTTACATATCTTGGCACAAATAAATAAATAAAGAACAGCATCACTATAATCAGAATTATAGTGAAGTAAGGTTAATCCCTTACAAACAGCTGGAGTGGGAACCAAAGAAGTAGCCTTCTTCTCACATTCCCACTTCAGACTAGGTGGTTGGGGATGCTCACCCCATGACAGGGCCACCGCTATGCATAGCCACTTCTCATCCCATTGAGTCCCCCACATGCCAGGACTTTGCCACTTTCAGAGCTGTCCCTGACACTGTCATATCCATACAATCCCGACCTCCGCTCCGGGCTCCCGGAACTCCAAACCTGACTTCCGGAGTCTTACTTCCCTTCCGTCACCTCCTCCTTGCCGACTCCCAAGAGGTTACCCCACCTCCGGCTCTGACACCACCTTCGGTCCGACTCCGGGACATTCCGGGTCCGACCCCAACCTCGACACCTTCCAGACAAGTACGCAAAACCTATGCTCCCGACTCCGGACCTCCGCTCCGGAATCCCATTCGCGTCTCTGTCTCCGGAACCTCCGGTCTTAGCTCCGACCTCGGACTTTGACCCCACCTCCACTTATACCCATTGTATTGGTTAGCTCATTCCATTTTATTAGGTTTGCCAATATTCCGGAGTTTAACTTCCGAGTTCGGACTTTCCGGACTTACCTCAGACCTTGCAACTATTGCATTGTCCTATTCAACTCCGCTATTCTCCCTCATTCCTATTTGGGCTGCTGCTTCCTTCCTATTCAGTCAGCTAGCCATTCCCCACTCCCAACCTCCTTCCTTCCTCCTTGGGCCTTGGCCCTTCATTCCTCCTTTGAGAAACACCATTGAGTCAAACCCTTGACCCTCAGTGTTGTTCCTCTTTCCATCTCCCTTTGTCTCCTTTCGTCCTACCCTTGTTCCTTTTGATTCCGGACCCCTCCTTATATACAATGTACCTAGTAACTTGTAACCTCAGTCCGAAATCGACTGGAATTCCCCCCCAAGAGACTTTCCCTCTGCTAGATCCGAAATTAGGGACCCCCAGGACAACCAGCAATGGCACAGCGCTCCGCCTGAGTCGCTGAGGCCGAGGTCCTTCCATGCTAAGTCTCCGATTCCATTCTGGAGTCGTCCGAATCCCCGCGTTCTAACAGACACGAACACCAGGTCCCCATGACCCCTCTCTATGGCCCACAGCCAAACCTGTGAACAGCCCTGTCCAGGGCACAACTCTACTGTGGGTAAGAAAGTGAGAAGAAGGTTAACTTCTCACTTTCCCACAGTGGTCCCAATATGGTGAAAGCTTCTGGGGATACCCAAAAGTCACATGAGGAATGGGAACCGGGCCCAGAGCATGCAGTGCGCAGAGCATGCAGGGCAGAGCACACATGCAGGTCTGGGTCCAGGCTAGTCAGGGTGTGTGCCCTGACAGTGACGAAGGAGCAGAGGTAATCCAGAAGGACTGGAGGTGGTGGGGGGTGATGGCCATGGATGGATATGACAGTAACCTAAAAGTTGGACATACTGGGAATCAAACTCCAGTCCTCTGGATTGCAAACTCAGTGTGCACAGCCATTACACCATACACCCTGTTAGGCTGAGGTGGTTATTTCAACACCACATTGGTGAATGCAGTCATGCAGATATAGTCATCACCAATGCTGATGTTCCTGACATTTTCTGTTCATATAGGAGAGTGAGTAGAGAGGGAGCTGGTAAGTAATGGAAGACAGACTGCTTGTGAAGGTTTCAAAGAAGTTATGGGCATTCACCCAAGCTTGATGAGTCAGAGGAATATTCAAAGTGGGTGATGTTGGTCTTGTTGCCAAGGCTGTTCCCCAGCTCATCAAGAGACTCAAGAATTAACACAAAGATAATGCAGCATCTTATGGGAACAATAATGAATATATAATGAGGCAGTCCGTACATTGGAGGAGCAACTACGGTAATATTGATACAATAGCATCTGAGTCACCTGTGCTATGAGGATGAAAGAAATAGGTCAGTTACAGCGAAAAACGAAATATCGTAGAAAGTGCAACAAGTGAAAACCCTGATTTGCTCAAATTGGAAGGTTGTTCCTGACTCACGTGCCACTTGTCACATTGGGCTGATAGAATTCATTTGTTCATTGAGTTAAATATTGATAGAACAATTGTTTTTAGTGGATTGCAAGTTGGGTGTTGTGGCCCACATGCTATGTATGCCCTATTCAGTCATTTATGGCCAAGGTGGCTCCTCAGTTCAATTCACTGTTGCTTCTTTCTTTGTTGCCTTTTTCTTCATGTTCAAAGTCAATGGTTACATAGGCTTTTTTTTTCCAGTCCGCTCTATACTTATAAAAAAACTCCCAGAAGCATTTTGTAGTATTGGTTGGTGTTAGACACTGGTCCGGGGTCGGCACCGAAGGTCGCTGATGCGGGCCACTATAGGCCGCAATGGCTGTGATGCCGCGAACAAGGCCTGGGGTAGGGCATTTGGCCTCAGCAACTCTAAAGGGAGTGCTGTGCCCCCTAGCTGTCTCTTGGCCCTCATTTCGGACTCACTGGGGTTGCCTTGTTGGGGTCAGGACTTAGGGGTCATGGTCACATCGATATTAGAGCTAAGGTACAATAAAGTATCATACAGGATATATATAGGAGGAAGAAATGAATGGAAGCGGACCCGGGCCGGAGGCCGAAGGGTCCGGAAGCAAACAAGAATAAGGAGCGGGGTTGGCCGCATAGTGGCCGGCAATGACCGAGGGTCAAAACAAACAATAACAGATAAATAAAGGAAAGAGCGTAGGGCTGCGATAGCGGCGATGGTATCGTAGCGGCGCCGGACTCGGAGTTGGGCCGGGGTCGGGCGCGGGAATGGTAGCAGCCCTGTAGGGGCCAAGTGGGCAGGGTAGAGGAGTCGCGCTGGGCACGGTGCCGGAGGCGGACTGGGGTGGGAAGGTTGGTGCAGCAGCAGGGGGTTGGCCAAGTGTAGGGGAGCCTAGGGGCAAGTGGGGAAGTGAGCAGGGAGTCCCCAGGGAGGATAGGGCTGAGGTTGGGACTCGCGCTCATGCTTGCATAGCGGGAACGGGCTCGGGCGGCATCGGGACGGGCAGGGAACAGGCCGGAATGCACGGCCGTGACAGTTGGTGAATACTTCATCGCCATTTTTGATGTGGAAAAAAAAAAGAGAAAAAAACTACTTTCCACAACGCCAAATCAAACCAACACCACTTGAAATGATCCCCAAGCTAGACAGAGAATATAGCCACTAGTTCACCATAGCACTGTTGCTGCAGCCCAACTCTGATCAGTTATAGAGATCTAACACGGAAAGTGCATACAGCCAATCCACTTCCACATGCTCCTCAGCTGCACCCCTGCATGTACCTAGCCCCTCTTACATTCCCTCTGTGGGGCTTTGTGAGCCCAAACTTCGATATCATCCCATTTCAACATGATCGAGCAACAGCAGCACGTGAATCAGGGTAACTTCCAATTTGAGCAAATCAGGGTTTTCGCTGTAATGGGGGAGAAAGCTCGCTTTTCAGTCACATGGTCCTTGGTCAAATAAGGAAAAAACATTTCGTCAGCAAAAGTGACAACTTTTATGTAATTTCGGGAGGTGAGAGTGACTCTGCTGTACAGGTAACCAGTCAGAAAATCACCCTTCAGGAGAAATTTTTCGATGTGACAAACTCTACTGTTTCCAGAAAACGACCTCTAAGCATTTAGAACGGTGCAACCAAAATACCTCCATTGTGATGTTAAAAACCAAAGGAATGAATGTCTTAGGTCGAAGGTAGAAAAACAGTGGGCCCTAGACCAGCTGACCGGCGCCAACAAAAAGATCCCGCGTGATGAGAGTGGGATTCGAACCCACGCCCGCGAACGGACCAGAAATATAGGGATCCTTAATCTGGCGCCTTGGACCAACTCGGCCATCTCACCCGCAGCTAAGAGTTCCTTGGGGGACGACTAGGGAAAACCAACACGACCCTTGGGGCATATGACCCAAGCCTCTTGGTAAAATCAATTCCAGGCAGTGTGGACATCAAGACAAAAAATTATAATCGCCTCGTTCATTGCTTCGAGGCGGTTAATTCTGCTCGTTTGAGATCGAGTGACATGACATCCAATTTCACAGTAGTGTTTGTACGTGTGGGAAACTTCAAAATCTTGAGCTGCGGGTTCGGGTCATTGATTTGTGGCTGTGGAGACGAGAACCACTTGGCTCATGCCAGTCGTGCCATTGCATTCTCGGGCTCGAGCTATCATTGCTCCAATAAAAGGTATGGATAGGAATCCCCATTCTCCCTCTGCGGCGTGAAAGCCTCGTTTCCTGACCGTTGGTATAGATCTAACGGAATCCAACCAATATAGTGAACGCTGAAAGTGTTGATTCGGTCACACAAAGGCACTCGGGGTCATTGTTAAGTAGATAACTCACCCTCCGAACCCGCCAACATAATATATGATGGAAGGATCAAATCGAGCCCATTGGACGTCCTGATCAATGGAACGATATGAGGCGACACAAAGCCGATTGGACGTGGGCTTACTTGAAATGGTGACTTCCCTGGTATCCACGAGGTGGCATCTGGGTGTCTGTCAACATAGCATTCTTCCAGGCTGTCGAGATCGTTGTCTGGTCCCACAGCACTGACTGAACCGATGAGTGCTACACGGGGCTTTGATACTGGCGACAGTGACAAGGGTGCCCGGATTGTGAATGTAGCGGCGTGTGTCGGTGAGGCCCATATATTGGTGGCACTCTGTGAGATATTAACGAGGATGAGAGCTAGTGAGCCATTCGGATAACATGGAGCGTAATACTCCATAAGTGCGAATGGTGCACCGGGCACTTCAGTAGCATTTGACGGCCTTATAGTGGCGAGTGTCCCGAGAGATTGAGACCCGACCAGTAGTCGAGCATTACGTGCTAACCATTCAGCACGCTCGTTAGTGACAGCCAGTTGCCGTGCGACGGAGTACGAAGAGAAAAGTAGAAGCATATCACCTGCATCCTCAAGGGTTTCCCTCGCACGGCAGAAAGCTGCCGAGTAGACAGACCACGTAACGAAAGTCCGCCAGAGCATGTGGCTCGCGTAATCTCTCAAGTAATCCTGATCGTTCGGGCCCGTGTGAGAGCGAACAAAGCGAACACAGGACAAAGGCGGCTTCGAAAAATTTTTTTTTCCATAGTTTCTCACGCCCACGTGGTAACGTTCTCCTGCTCAGATGCCTTTCTTTGCGTACTTCTCTGAAGCGTGTAATGGAACACTGCAGACATCCTGCTTGCTCGTTCCAAACCTGTGCTTGCGCGTCGTAAAGATGGACATGCTTCGGGTGTGGTACGATTCGCGTTGGGGTTTTGTAATTTAGAACAATAAGAAAATTGGTGCGAGGCCATGCGTTGGACAATAGGCTACTTCCATGGATACACATGAGAACCCTTAGTCTGCCACTTGGTCTTTTGTCTTGTGTCCCTTTAAGAGTCTGGTTCGCTCGCAAGTTGATTCATCACTCCCCTCTTTCCCCGCTTGCCTTCGTTAACGTCGTTGACACGACCTCTACTGCCTTTCGCTTGCTCAACTTCTTTACAAGTCTGACCTGGTGCCAGCTAGACTCTCATTATAATTCGAAAGCACTTGACCGTGCATACACTTCTACTAGAACATCTCTTGAATTTTCCGTGAACGATCAACCAGAAGATCATAATGCTACCTCCACGAGCCTATCTGTTCATTGCATTGAACGCTGCCCGTGCGCTTTCTCTTCTTACGCTTATTCTCGTCTTCAGCTCGTCGAGTACGTGCTCCCACTTTCGCGCCACCGCGGCCGTATCCTGACGTCCATTCTAGTTGTCACCATGGCCGGGGATATTGCGGCCATTCGTCGGAGTCCAGCAGACCTATCACAACATAATAGCACTATCTCCATCAATGGGACCGACTACATTTTTGATTGCGATTATCGGGAGAACAGCACGTATGTCAACTCGTTTTACCATCTATGGCTGATGAGTTGCTAATTTAGGGTTTCAACGCAAGTGTCCCAATGCAGCCTGGTGGATCCATGTTTGCTATTATCAACCACATTTTCATCATCTTCCAAATCATCCTGCTATTCATGTCCGAGATCTCTTGGCCAATGTCTTTTCTTGACAATTTTATCCCTGTCCTCGGCACTCAACATGGTGTCGGCATACTAGGATTTATGCAAATCTTGTAAGTCACCTCTACTCGTCTTTTCAATCCCAAAAACTGATAATTATGATCAGCATCGGCGCTGCTGTACTCTCTCACCACGTGGGCACTTTTGCTCTTGTCTCCGCCTTCTTCCTCTTCGCTATCGGAATCCTCAACGTCCTCCTCGGCCTCACCTTCCGCGCCTCCATCAGAACCAAACGCTCACTCACCTCATGGCGCGATCGCGTTCCCGAACTTCCACGTTCCACATCAGACTTCAAGTCAGCCATGTCTGGTAAAGGCTCAGGCGTCTTTGGTGCCGCTCAAAACGTCTTCGCAAACGTCACGGGTTCTTCCGAAAAAAATCAGGAGCCTGGTTCACATCCCGGTTATGGATTCGGAAGACAAGGGGAGAAACAGGCTGGGTTGAAAGGCTTCTTGATTTCGAAACCCGTTGAGACATTGCCTCGATATGCGGCTAAGCCTGGTGCACCATCGAGAAATAGTTCAAGGAGTTCGAATCGAAGCTCCGCCGACTCCACCGAAATCCCTATCCAGGACCCCCCTAAGGCCAATAGGATCTAAGCACTTGCATCTGCGAATGACGAATGGATGAAACGGCTTGTCACGAAAACCACATTTATCTTGATGATCTGGTCATCGTTTGGAACACATTGTTTGTTGTGTGATATTGTGATGCGATGCATCGTTTTTTTTCTCTATATCTCACTCTAATTTGCTGCCTGTGGTGTGGCTGCCTTGGGCACTCTCCCGTGTGTATAATTTCCCCTTTTGAAGCGTTGAAATACAACAGCTCTATCATACTGTGATGACAACAGACAAAAGATTTATGTGCTAATACAGGGGGAGTACGGCAAGCTCCATGGCATTGTCCGATATATGCATTATTGCAACTCTCAGGCTGAAGCAACAACAGTTGCCAGCCTACGGGCCTTCAACAAACTGAAGCAAGTGGTCTTGTTCACTTGCGGCTTAGTTCACCTCGCCACTTTTTTTTTCTGGCCGCTACTTTATGTGTGGGCCAAATTCAGTCAAGTACATACTTGAACGAAAGAGACCAAATCGACAACTGGGCCTTGCGCGCCTACCGCACCGTCCCAGAGGACTCAGAGAAAGACAAAGTCCAACTTTATCCGCACGCTCATAGCGGGTATGCAGGATTAGAAACAAGTGCTTCCCCCCAAGGAGACACCACGCTCCCAAAGGGTTTGAATATAACACTCTTAGATCTTCATTTCATTCCGGCCACAGTGTGCCAAGGCACATAGGGTAAAGGCCCCTCGACGACCTATCATTACTCATCTAGCAAAGTCTCGATATTCGGTCAAAAAACCCTCGAGTCCATGACGGTTCCAATTGACTCAGTTGGGCCGTTTACACCTCTCGGTGGGCCGTGCGTATAGTGGTCCATTTATTTTCCTGGCCCCAATTGCAGGCTTCGACGTGAAATCATGGGCCATCAGTTTGATGTTCAGGAAGTATTTTCCCTCCATGACTTTCCCCCATTAGCGTCAAAGTGCAAAGTGGAACCCGAACACATGTCCGGAAAGCAAGCGACTCCCCCCCCACCAATGTGAGGGACTGGGGCTAGAAGATCAGGACCTTGCAAAAAGCAAATCAAGGTTGCACCTCTTATAGTTAGATAGAGAAATCACCCTTTATTTTCATTTCCCCACTTACGTCCGTGACGATCCAACTTGACGAACTCATGGCCATCGATGGGGTGCCTTATCTCCTAGCGAGTTTTTAACGGGAGGCATGCCGTGATAGGGAAGCCGCAAGCCGAAGAAGGGGCAGTGGCCCAGAAATTATGCGATTTGGAAATGGCTTAGTCTTATGACGGCTGGCAGAAGCCGGTGCTGGTTTCGTGTCATCTCTTCTGGCCCCCTAGCCTGGAGCTAGGTGTTCTTTGTGCGCGTACACTTTCCCCTCTGAGGCATAAGTATATCAGGCCTGCTGGGTCTGGCCATACAATGGCCATCTCATTTCTGGACGTCGTCCTAGCCAGGTTTGGTAAATACATACCACTTTATCTGCATGGATCTGCATGGGGCCCCGGCACAGACCCGTCGTGAGCCTATCAAGGAACTTCGAGAGCGTATCCTAATGATTAACTTTACTCCGGAACAATTCATTAGCGCCTTGATTGACTCAATCTGGCTTTGGGGTGTCCTAGTGCTTGGGCGCAAGACGCCCCAAGTTTCAACCTGTGATAACTCTGCGCCATCCCAAGTGCTGGTATTTTTGCCTCTCCTTCCCATGTCTCTAGACTGAACGTCCCTGAAAATACTACGATTCTATTCGTGCAAAGTTCGACTGAGGGGACTTAGAGGGGTAACAGCCTCAATTTCAAGGTGGACATTACCCGTCCGCAATCTCGGAAGCGATCTATTTCTGTCCAGAAACTCCGATACTTGACCGAGTTTTGTGAATAAGCCTATGAGGGCTACTAGCGGGAATTACCTCAACCCAGAGTCGTTACAATCCATGGCGCGTAGTGATGCATCCTCTAGCTTAGACCGGGCTAGATTGTATTTTAGGCGCAAATTGTCGATTGACTTTCACACTGGCAATGACTCGACCAAGTCAAATCCTGGGATAAGTCAGACCAGATATCATCATACCATTACATTGAATGTTATGACGTTGGAACTAAAAAAAAAAAAAAAAAGTAGGAGTTGCAAAAAAGTCTTCACTAACGGTTTCCTTCAGCAGGACCGGCCGATTTGGCTCCGGGCCCCGACAACCAAAATTTATGTACATAGTTGCTGTCCAAGAAGTCCTTTTCTTCCACGATTTTCCCATCAGCGTCGAAGCGGAGCCTGAACACGTGTGAGGAAGCGAGAGACTTGCCCGCGAGCGAGACAGACCGGTGCTGCAATCAGAATGCTTTAGCATGGTTTCTTAAGAGGCTTAGCAAAAGCAGCCAGAACTATAGTAGGAGACGCACCCCTAAGTTTACATAGAGAATCACATCACTCTCGTTTTCTACCACCTCTGTGATAATGTACTAGATGAAAAATCAGTGAGCGCTTAGTAGCATGCACACGATTGGCTAGGCTGTGTCACCTCGGCGTTTTTCGTCCATTTCCAGATAACATTCTGGAATGTGTCGATAAATTTGGACTTGTTACACTGGCTCCATCCCAGGGCGCTCAGAGACTCATCCGGGAGTGGAGTCCAGGTGAAATTATCCGTGCAACACTCATCCAAAGTGACTTTCAAGGTTTCATACGAGTATGAAGTACGAGCTTCGAGGAGACGGAGAGCAGTTTTCAAGTTGGGGGATTGATGATCTTTGAGGGTGGTAGCGAGAGGGGCGGCGAGTTGAACGGGGGCCATGTTGCGATAATGAAAGGTCCAACACACCAAGCTCTAGTGTGGGCCCGATAAGTAGCCAGGGGAACCATGCGGACAGACTATGCGCCGCCAACAGTATTGACTTTGGCGAATCTCGCCTTTTCGAGATATATAGGCAAGCATGCACCCATTACTCCATTACTCAGGAATTGATTTTCCCGAAGAAGTCGTCGTTCATCCTAGTCGGTCCAAGTTTAGATAATCAAGATACAATATTCCAAATCCTTTTTTGTTCATGTATTGGAAATATGCGTGGCCCAAGGCTAGATGAGTTCCAATGAACTTCGAATGGCTGGCTCCGTGAATGTTCATCATGACATATATAAACTCGAGATACAGCAGCTCGAGCATGTCCGAGGGATGCTGGAGCAGCGATCAAGACCACCTCAAGACCTCCCCACCTTTAGTCGGTAGTTTCGGGAAACCAGATTATTTCTCCGCTCAGAGTGAGAAAGGGATGAGGTGCGCAGTGGGATTCAGCAGACGGTGCGGCACCTCTTCAGCGCGGTGAAATGAGCTCGCCCGCCACGCCACCCATCCTGACTCGTGTTTCTCTCGGCCAAGGTTGTCGATTCCCAGCACGCCAGGTTTAATGCCCACAGCTGAGCGGCGTCTGAAATCACAACTCAAAAAACCACACCGCCGCAGACCCTACCAGGTGCCTTCCCCGTCAAACCACCGGTGTGAATTGAAGCAGGGGCAATGAGCAAACGGATGTAAACTGGTTATCATCCAGATGTACACAATGTGCCGACCTCCCCAAGTGTTCAGCACCAGTGTGGTCAGAAACTGAGGCTTGAGGCATTATTAATCATGCACCCGTAGAGACATGGCCTCAAACGCAGCGGTGGCGGCCGTCCAGCCGATCGATCGATCTCAACCGATTCGCTCGTCCGTGACCCATCCTGTCACGGGCGCTTGAAGGAGAGAAGCGTTCATGTGGTCCTGCATCCATGCTATGTGGGTTCAAGGAAAGAGAGTTATCGTGCCACTGGTACATAGATAGTGCTTTGCAATTCCATCATATACTTACATAACTTACATATAAAGAAAAAACTTTAGCAAAGAGACGCGTCCCGTTGAGGAATAGAAATGGTACTACAGAGGTTCGTGTGAGTCATTACATAATTGGTCAGTTGTAGCCAGCTTCGGTGCCGAAGCACTAGCCCCCTTGGCCCTTCTTTTACGCGAACACAACCTCGTTCCAGTCATGTCCCTCCAAACCCTCATTCTGGACGTGCTGATCGAAATCCTAAGCTATATCGAAGTCCGCGATATCCTTTCCCTACAATGCGTGAGCTGCAGATCCACGACTCTGTCTGCTTGCTCACTTCCAGTTGAACTTGCAGACTTGCAAGGGTATCGGAAGAGTCACTCAGCTTCACACCGTGTGGAAGAACGTTTTAGAAAAGCACATAATTCCCTCTGGCCAATCAATTTCGCTACCGTCTAATGTCCCTCTACCTGACCAATCCGCACTCGATCTTAAACGAGCAGCAATATATGCTGCGCGTCTAGAACACAACTGGACATCTGTAACACCCAGGGTTTTCGCACATACACAATTCTACATAGGACCATCGCGAGTTAATAGCACATTCTTCATCCCTGGTCACAGCGGAAAGTATTTGTTGACTGTCAGTGGTGGCCATGAGGTGTCGATATGGTATCTAGAGCCAGATCTTGGAAGATCCTGGAAGATACTTGACTGGAATGTTCAGGGGACCGTTATCGATGCGGTTCCTAACAGTGACGGCTGGGCTCGCGCAACAATGGCTCTATCACACACTTCAGACCGGTTGCGTTCTTCAATTTCTTTTTCTTCCAAGTGTGAGTTAAATGACTAATTTATTCCAGACATTTATGCATCACCCTGTACAACCTGGCCTTCTGTGATGATGGGGGAGGACGCCCAACAGCCACCTACGAGCAGATCTTTGAGGGCAAACTCCCTGGTCGGTTGGAGATTCTTCGTGGAAACCTTATCGGGATGTATAGGAGGTTTCGCCTCGGAGGGTATCTGTTCAATTATCAGAGTCAAGTGACGGTCGAACTTCAAGGCGCAGCAGCTCAACCTGTCAGTTAAAGTCCATCATTACTTCTCATCTCGACCACGAAACTCATGCAATAGTTCCATCGAATAGTATGGCCTATGTTTGGCGATGGAAGTCCTTAGTAATTGCGTCATAATAGTTCAGCCTCTGAGCATCAACATCTTTGCGTTGCCTGAAATCGCGCGGGACACTGAACCTCGACCAGGGGAAGCAAGGGTATTCCAAGCACAACATATTTCTGCTGCCCTCTGTCCTGAAGACAAAGTATGGAGCTCCGCCGTCATCATTCCCTACTGTGCTCCCTATCCAGCGCAACGTGAAAGTCCTCCCTCCCAGCCTATCTCCATCCTCATTCACGAACAGGAAATAACGGAAACCGTAGACACCCTGAACCATTTCCTCGTCTATGACTCACCGGGGTACTCCCCTAAATCATCTGTTCTCCGTACTCGCTCCCCAAATAACCTGCCGAGCACTGGCAGTTTCACCGAAACCACTCTCTATGTAGCTCAAATTCGTACCAGTATGTATCCATATTTTCTCCTCGATGTTGTGGCTTCTCCGACAAGCGGAAGAGGGCTATGGTTAGCATGGAGGAGTCAATCGTCGGTCGAGCAAGTCGTCCTCTTTAATGCCAGTGGCGGCGTTATAGATGATTCGTCATTCAAATTAAGTGATATTGGACCATTTGATGATAAAGAGTCTACTCGAAGGGGAGCGAGAATCGGAGCTGAAGATATAGTGGACGCTTTCAGGGATTGTGCAGACTTTTCTTTGGATGATGGGACTGGGCGGGTTGTTGTTACTAGTCATGGACAAGTTCGCATCTTGCAGTTCGGGATCGCGTGAAACCAATGCTGTAGTACGGTAACAACTACTGGTCCGTCCCATAATCCCATTAGGGCTAAGACTTCATTCTGAATACTAGGCAGGTTTATTCTGAGTCGTTCCTCCCTGCGCAGCCCAAGCCCGTCTTCTTGCACAAGCTGGCAGGCACATGCCATCCAGCCTGAGGGGCGCGAACTTTAGCGTTGGTTTTCTGCCTGAAGTAGATATTCTATAGTGGCATGTTTTGCATCGTGCATCGACTGGTTTGGCTCAGCTAGGCCAGTGACTCCTAGACTAGCCATACTTCGCGTCATCCGTATTTTATGGTTCTTCAGTTGTCGGTGGCTCGACTTCCGGCGACTCCACATATGGCTTAAGGCCCTGGTTCCACTGTTTGACATCTTTCCGGGCTTGACATACAGTGCGACGACTCACGTTGTTGAGGTTGCGGTGTCGTGTTTCTATTCTTGGTACTCTTGCTACCAAACTATGTAATTTGTGCTCTATTCAGCGCGCTCGCTTATATTATAAAGCAGAATTTCTGGTTTTTTTTTTGTCTTTCCTCAGCTCGCGTACAACGGAACTGAGAGTGTATTATGTTATCATTTTAATATTTATGCTTAACAGGCCCAGGCCGCCTGCATTTCAACTTTGCCCCTCCAGAATGACACCGTGCCGATCGGAATGTCTGTCATTCGTGGTGTTCCTCCCCTGCGGGTGTGTGTCTAAGATTGACATTTACATTCGCACTCAGTTCCGACTCGCCCAAAAGATACAACGGGCTCACAGGGGTATCCGAAACGTTAATTGTCAAGCTTCATATTCTGTAACAAATGTTGCTAGAAGTACTGTGTCTAGCTGTGTGGAGTTAAAATGAACAGGGCTGTATGCCTTCTTGTCTCGAAAGTAATTCGGCATCTGTGGAACTGCACATGCCGAGCTTTCTGCGAGAGTGACACCCGAATTGGCCCCTATGCAGAAAATATTTGGGGTTCATCAGCTGCGGTAGTAACATATATGTCGGTGGAGCATCTGAAACCCGATCTTAGAGAGTCACAGGAGACACTTTAGAGGGAATTTCGAATGCAGCATGCAGTGCAGTCCTCACTGGCGATTGTGGGGATCGTGGGTTGCACGATAGCGTTACTGTATGCCAGTGACTCGCCAACTAGTATAGTCTTCAGGGTTTAATTCTAACTCCGAGCGATCGGTTCCACGGGTGTCTTACACGATCCACACAACCTAGTTCCCAGCATAGCTAGATATATCATGCACGCCTGCCTACGAACCAGCCTCCAGAACTGAATCGACTGACGGTCCTTTCACGGAAACTCAGGCAGGTTCCCAGCCTCTTAGAAGCCAAGCCTCACTTCAGAAGATATCTATTTATTAATAATTCCCAGAGGTAAATGCGTCCAGTCAACGACCTGCTTTGTTGGCTGGAAGTAGCCATGCATTCTCAGCTGAAATGCGATGCCATTCCTACACTCATCGCCATTCTCACTTTATGAACCTTTACAATACCCCATTGTTTTACCACTGTACTCATTCTCAAATGCAGTGAAGTTCTTACAACTTACACTGACATCATACATCCGAAGGCTGCAGTTCGACTAGTTTAAGCGAGCCTCGGTACCGAAGGAGTCTTTTACGCGAACACGACCTCGTTCTAGTCATGTCCCTCCAAACCCTCATTCTGGACGTGCTGATCGAAATCCTAAGCTATATCGAAGTCCGCGATATCCTTTCCCTACAATGCGTGAGCTGCAGATCTGTGACTCAGGATCCGTCTACTTGCTCACTTCCAGTTGAACTTGCAAACAGACTTGCAAGGGTATCGGGGGAGTCACTCAGCTTCACACCGTGTGGAAGAACGTTTTAGAAAAGCGCATAATTCCCTCTGGCCAATCAGTTTCGCTACCGTCTAATGTCCCTCTATCTGACCAATCCGCACTCGATCTTAAACGAGCAGCAATATATGCTGCGCGTCTAGAACACAACTGGACATCTGTAACACCCAGGGTTTTCGCGCGTACACAATTCTACATAGGACCATCGCGAGTTAATAGCACGTTCTTCATCCCTGGTCACAGCGGAAAGTATTTGTTGACTGTCAGTGGTGGCGATGAGGTGTCGATATGGTATCTAGAGCCGGATCTTAGAAGATCCTGGAAGATACTTAACTGGAATATTCAAGGAGTAATTAGCAATGCGGTTCCTAACAGTGACGGCTGGGCTCGCGCAACAATAGCTCTATCGCACACTTCAGACCGGTGCGCATTCTTCAACTTTTTTTTCTTCTGAGCGTGAGTTAAACGAATTCCAGACGTAGATACATCACCCTGTACAACCTGACCTTTTGTGATGATGGGAGAGGACACCCAACAGCCACCTACGAGCAGATCTTCGAGGGTGAATTCCCTGATCGGTTGGAGATTCTTCGTGGGAACCTTATCGGGATGTATAGGAGGTTTCGCCTCGGAGGGTATCTGTTCAATTATCAGAGTCAAGTGACGATCGAACTCCAAGGTGTAGCAGCTCAACCTGTCAGTCATCACTTCTCATCTCGACACGAAACTCACGCCATAGTTCTATCTAATAGTACGGCCTATGTTTGGCAAAGGAAGTTCTTAGCAATTGCGTTATAATAGTTCAGTCTCTGAGCATCAGCATCTTTGCGTTGCCTGAAATCGCGCGGGATACCGAACCTCGACCAGGGGAAGCAAGGGTATTCCAAGCACAACATATTTCTACCGCCCTCTGTTCTGAAGGTAGTGCATGGAGCTCCGCCGTCATCATTCCCTACTGCGCTCCCTATCCAGCGCAACGTGCAAGTCCTCCCTCTCAGCCTATCTCCATCCTTATCCACGAACGGGAAACAATGGAATCCGTAGGCACCCTGAACCATTTCCTCGTCTATGACTCACCAGGGTACTCCCCTAAATCGTCTATTCTCCGTACTCGCTCCCCAAATAACCTTCCGAGCGCTGGCAGTTTCACCGAAACCAATCTCTACGTAGCTCAAATTCGTACCGGTGTGCATCCATATTTCCTCGATGTTGTGGCTTCTCCGACAAGCGGAAGAGGGCTATGGTTAGAATGGAGGAGTCAATCGATCGGGCAAGTCGTCCTCTTTGATGCTGGTGACGGTGTTATAGATGACCCGTCAGGAAAATTAAGTGATATTGGACCATTTGATGATACAGGGTCTACTCGAAGGGGATCGAGAATCGGAGCTAAAGATATAGCGGACGCTTTCAGAGATTGTACGGACTTTTCTTTGGATGATGGAACTGGGCGGGTGGTTGTCGTTGCTAGTCACGGACAAGTCCACATCTTGCAGTTCGGGACCGCGTGAAACCAATGCTGTAGTATGGTAACCGCTACTGGTCTGTCTCATAGTCCCCATGACTTCATTCTGAATACTAGGCAGGTTTATTCTGACCCTGCGCAGCCCGGGCCCGTCTTCTTGTACGAGTTGGCAGGCACATGCCATCCAGCTTGAGGACCGCGAACTCTAGAGTTGGTTTTCTGCTCGGAGCAGATATTTTACCGTGTCATGTTTTGCACCGTGCTTCGACTGGTTTGGCTTAGCTAGGCCGGTGACTCCTAGACTAGCAGTACTTCGCGTCATCCGCGCCATCTCAATATTATGGTTCTTCAGTTGTCTGTGGCCCGACTTCCTGGCGGCTCGGCCTGGGTGACTGGCTTGAGACCCTGGTTCCACTGTTTGACATGTTGCCGAGCTTGACATACGCTGTGGAGACTCACGTTATTGAGGTTGCGGTGTTGTGTTTCTATTCTTGGTATTCTTGCTACTACAAAGCTAAATGTTTAGCGTGCTCGCTTATATTACTTATAAAGCAGAATTTTTCTAGCCTGTCCCCAGTACGTACAACGAAACTGAGTGTTCACGCTAGGATTCTAATATCCACACCCAACAGCTGAGTGAGAGTTTTCCTGCATTTCATCTCTGTCCCTCGAAAAGGAGTTTGGAGTTGGACAAAAGTGCCCGCTACACAATATTCCGATGTAAACGAAGTTGGTATTCTAATAGCAGGTGAATGGCATGTAGCGATAAGGGAGATTGAGATCTTGGCTGTATTTTGGCACTGCCAAGAGAAGTGTAGAGTTGGTGCGGTTTTGCGAATACCCTCACTGATGACAACGTGTCCATGGCTGGGTAGTGGGGATTCTTCTCTTCCAGCTGAGAACATCGGGACGAGTGGGAACTCATATGTGCATATAATAGTGGTGGAAGTGACCCGCCAAGGACAGCGTGACGGACGCTTGTGGCGGCATTCTGCGCTAATGAATTTCGCGAATACTAATTGATTCCGGGGTCGCCTTGCTTGATCTGATTACGTTTGAATCGATCTCAACTCCTATACCGAGTGAATAACGCATTGTTGTTGCATTGGACCCACTTCAGGCCGCTGGGCTCGTGTGCACATATATGGCGTTTCTGTCATCATCGGGTCATGGCAATGTACTTGTGGGAGCCACACATGCACCCAACATCCCACGGCTCAACCCACGGCCGAAGGAGAACGTTCAACGCGCAGCAGAACACCGGCACGACAGGAGTCAGAATGCCCAGCAGGGGGTCACTGTCATATATATCTCCGCCGTAGGGCTCAATTGTCAGACCCGTACATCCTAACTAAGGCTGAATATTTGGAAGTCCCAAGGCCCTGCCTTTCCCTTTCTGGCTGAAACTTCATGTTGTCTCTTTGGCCGGGGCTAATCCGGGGGAGGACTCTCGCTGGTTTCGCTATTATACAATATGGGACCTTGGCTTTTCTCTGAATTCTTTAGGATAGTGTGGGGACCAGAGCCCAAGTGTCCTTTTGTGATACTCTGCGCCGTTCGATTGCCTGTATTCAGCCCACCACTCCCATACTTCCAAATGTCTCTGATCCCTTCAATATACTAACTCTTGGGCACCAATTTTCTATTCCGGCCACAGTGAAAGTCTGGCTGAGATATCGACCTCAATTTTTAGGGCGGATGACCTATTATTACTCGTCTGCAATCGAAGGCAGCTAGCTGTTCAGGAGCCTCAGCGCTCGGCCGAGATTTTTTGATTCTGTGTCGGTTCCAAGTGGGAATTAACTGCCTCCAGATCCGTTTTGGAGGTGTTCTTCGTGTGTTGGTCCATTCTTACTGGGAATAGGTTCCTTTCGAGGTGAAATTATACTAGGCAGCGGTGGGCTGAGTCCCCACCCCAGCAACAACTCAATCAAGCCGACGTCAACAGAGTCATAGGATGAATCAAACCAGGCATGCATCATATTGTACATTGACTGTTACTTGTTGGAGCCAAAAATGGGACTGCGATCTTGCTAATGGTTCCCTACGCGGGTCTACGCCCTATGGTTCCCTGGGGTCCCGACCAAAAGAAATCATGAATTATTTTAGTGTCCAGGAAGTATCTTGCCTCCACAACTTTCCCATCAGCGTTGAAGCGGTTCCTGAACACATGGTGGGAATTAAGCGACTCCCCCGCCAATGTAACAGACTGAGGCTGGACCAAGACTCTTCAGCATGGTCAAGACATTGTATGGCAGCAACCGAAAGACGCACCGGAATGTTTACCCAAAGAATTACATCGCTTTCGGTTTCCACTACTTCTGTGACAATAAACTAAACGAATTAACGGGTCGTCAGTGGGTGCTTATCACCTGCACAATGGGTGGAGCTGCGCACCTGCAAGCCTTTTATTCCTTTCCAACCAAGATTCTGGATAGCCAGGCTGAATTCTAACTTGTTGAGCTGGGTCCATCCAAATACGCTCAATGACTCTGGGAGTGCAACAAGCGCAAAGTCATCCGTGGTGATCTCATCGAAAGTGGTCTTCAGGGTTTCATCCGAGTATGAGGTATAAGCGTCGAGGAGCCGTAGAGCGGTTTTCAAGTTAGGGGATTGATCCTTGAGGGTCGCAGCGAGAGGGGCGGCAAGTGGCATGTTATGATAGGGAGCACATACTAAGGGCTTGAAATCCTGGCAGTTATATATATGCATGTTTGATTCAGAAGATCCGCATTTTCCCCCAGCTTTCAGTGCCCCACATGATGTATGGATTATACATGATAAACCAAAGGCTAGAAGCCCAGCCATGAATGGCGTGAAAACATCCCCACTAGACAATATCCCGAGGCGTTGTGTTGTGGTTCGTTGGAAGAAGATCGGATTGTAATTAGGGATTCACCTCTGATAGCAAATAAGCAGACCCGCTGGTTGGCCCGAGTTGGTACTGCCTCGACTGCACGTACATATATGACAAATAATGCTCGGCTCGAGGGTCCGCCACATGGGAAGGCCTATTCGCCTGGCCGGCCCGATGTCATAATTTTATCATTATCCTGGCATCATCAATGTTAATATCAATCGCGCCAATATATGGGGAAACACAACATTGAGGTTCTTTGCAAGGGGACAGAGGTCTAGGCGTGCATCACCACATGGCTACTTTTCTACGAGTCGGTGTGCTTCAGCAATCCTCAGATCTGAAAGACGTGTCATAGTATTAACAGCTGGAACCTTATTCTAGGCAACATATCCGGAAGATATCGCTTTCATCGCATAAGTTTTGCGTCAATCCTGGTTATCTACTAATCAAATGGCGGCGTCGGACATGCTCATTTCATTTTGAGTCATCTGATTCATCGTCTGCCCGTAATGGCATAGATGCAAGGGCACCGTTCGCCACCATGCTACTGGGTGCACGTTGGCAGCCGCTGCCGAAAAATCCATCTTTCAGTGACGATCCAATTGAACATAGCCAAAGTAGTAGGATATCATCGATCGACCAACCAATGTGACCTTCGCATGGCTAATCATTTTGTTTGAGAAAGGCAAGTTTCCATTGCTTCTTCCAGCTACCAATTGGACGCATGATTTTTAGGAAGAACAACTTGAAGCCGTTCGTGCGATTCGAAGTTTCTGAGAAGAGCTGGAGTCGTTTCGCTGCTGCAAAGTGGGACGCCCAACTCAAACTGCTATGTACATTGTGGTCCAATTTCCTGACGGGGAGAGCACCTGTGGGGAATGTTTAAATGTTATCACTCACGCAAGATAACGGAGAGCCTGAGTGGGGAGTATTGCAAAATTAAATCGCTCTGGGAAAGATGCTTCCGGAATCACGATACTATCACATACTCCCGTGAAGCAAGGAATAATGAGCGAATGGATCTAAACCGGTCGCTATCTGAGACACGGCTTGAGAAGTGATTAGGAGTTGTTGTTGTTGATATCATATTTGTTACCCCGCGGTCGCGTTGGCACGTGACAGAGCGGCATATCCCACTACATTACATCTGTACATGAGGGGACTTTCACAACGTGGAGTGTCGTCGGGTTAGTAGGGTCGGGGTGACGGTGTCCTCTGGGGTCTGGTTTCGGGTTGATTTGGTTCGTCTGTGGATGGGGTTACTCCCCGGGCTCAGTGCTGTCACGATGGGTGGTTTTCTTGAAAGTTTCGGTCGATGGGAACCGAGGTACGATCGGGGGTAAGTCTGGGTCTCTTATCGATGGCGTGCGACTTCTTTAGGTACTTTGCCAGCCTGAGGATTCCTTTCGGTCTCCCCATCAGCACCATGGGTCTGGTCTGCCGTCCGCTGCCCAGCAGGTGTCGAAACTTCCTGAGTTGCGGGCAGTTTTGTAGGATGTGAGTCCGTGTCTGGACCGCTGCGCCGCACTGGCATTCTTGGCTCTCTGTATGAATGCCGAAGCGCTGGTAGTATTCCCCAATGTGCGCGAAGTGATTAGGAGTGGAAGGTATATACGGATCGGGCTGACACCACGGCAAATACCGGGAAGCAACCTAGTCACCAGACCCAGACATAACAGTTTCTACCCTCGTCATTGCTTCATGGCAATGTACTTATGGGAGCCACACATGAACCCAACATCCCACGGAGGCTGAAGGAGAACGTTCAACGCGCAGCCGAACGCCGGCACGACAGGAGTCGGAATGCCCAGCAGGGAGGGTCACTCTCATATATGTCCGCCGTAGGGCTCAATTGTCAAACCCGTCCATCCTAAGGCTGAATGTTCGGAAGTCACAATAAGAGTCAACGTCCAGCCAAAGGCCTTGCCTTCCCCTTTCTGGCTGATATTTCATGTTGTCTCTTTGGCCGGGGCTAATCCAGGGGTTCCGCTACTATACGATATGGGACTTGGACTTTTCTCTGAATTCTTTAGGATAGTGTGCGCCTCGGGCCCGCGCCGTTCGAGTGTCCATATTCAGCCCACCACTCCCACATTTCCGAATGTCTCTGATCCCTTCAATATGCTTGGGCACCAATTTTCTATTCCGGCCAGTGAAAGTTTGGCTGAGGCATCGACCTCAATTTTAGGGCGGATAACCTATATTACTCGTCCCGCAATCGAAGGCAGCTTGCTGTTCGGGAGCCTCAGTTGATTTTTTGAACCTGTGTCGTTCCGAATGGGAATCAACTGCCTCCAGATTCGTTTTGGAGGCGTTCTTCGTGTGTTGGCTCATTCTATCTGGGAATAGGTTCCTTTCGAAGCAAAATTGTATTGGGCTAACTCCCACCCCAACGACAACTCAATCAAGCCGACGTCAACCAGTCACAGGGCGAATCAAACCAAGCATCATATTGTACATTGACTGTTACTTGCTTATTGGAGCTAGAAATGGGACTGCGGTCTTGCTAGTGGTTTCCTACGCAGGTCTACGCCCTATGGTTCCCTGGGGCCCAGACCAAAGAAAGTCATGTACAAACTTGGTGTCCAGGTTGTATCTTGCCTCCACAACTTTCCCATCAGCGTTGAAACGGTTCCTGAACACGTGGTGGGACGTGAGCGACTCCCCTGCCAATGTAACAGACTGAGGCTGAACCAAGACTCTTCAGCATAGTCGAGGCATGGTGCAGCAACCGAAAAGACGCACCGGAATGTTTACCCAGAGAATTACATCGCTTTCGGTTTCCACTACTTCTGTGACAATAAACTAAACGAATTAACGGGTCGTCAGCGGGCGCTTATCACCTACATCATGGGCGGAGCTGCGTACCTGCAAACCTTTTATCCCTTTCCAACCAAGACTCTGGATAGCCAGGCTGAATTCTAACTTGTTGAGCTGGGTCCATCCAAATACGCTCAATGACTCTGGGAGTGCAACAAGCGCAAAGTCATCCGTGACGGTCTCATCGAAAGTGGTCTTCAGAGTTTCATCCGAGTATGAGGTATAAGCGTCAAGGAGCCGTAGAGCGGTTTTCAAGTTAGGGGATTGATCCTTGAGGGTCGCAGCGAGAGGGGCGGCAAGTGGCATGTTGTGATACTAAGGAGCACATAGGAGCTTCAGATCCTGGCGGTTTTATGCACGTTTGACCCAGAAGATTCTTTCAATGCCCCACATGATGTATGGATTGTGATAAGCCCGGGTGACGATAAGCCAAAGGCTAGAAGCCCCGCCATAAATGGCATGGAAACAATCCCACCAGACAATATCCCGAGACGTCGTGTTCTGGCTAGCTGCAAGAGGATCGGATTTTAATTTGGAATTCATCTCTACTCAAAATGTCGATAGCAAATAGGCCAACCCACTAGTTATCTCAAGTTGGTACCGCCTTGACTGCACGTACATATATGGCAGATAATGACAGCATGACGCCCGAGGGTCCGCCACATGGCCACATGGGAAGGCCTAGTCACCTGGCCCAGCTAGCTGTCACATTATCATGGCGTCATAATTAATATTATCGATCGCGCCAATATAAACCACGCAACACTACTCTTTATAAGAGAACAGAGGGGTCTAGGCGTGCAACACTACACCTACGGCCAGCTCGCTTCGCCCCGAGTCGGTGCGCTTCGGCAATGCAATGCTATGCAAACGGCTTTACTGCTAATGTGTCATAAGTAGCATTCAAGGCTGGAACCTTATTCTGCCGGTTCTAGACAAGAAACGATCCATATCCGGAAGATTTCGTTCTCATTACATAACTATTGCGTCAATGTTAGTTATCTACTAATCAAATGGTGACGTCGGATGATGCTCATTCTATTCTGAGTCATCTGATTCATCGTCTGCACGACCCCGTTCGCCGCTATGCATTGTGTTACTGGATGCACGTTGGCAGAGGCCGCCGAAAACGCCTGCTTTCAGTGACGGTCCAACATGGCCCAAGTAGGATATCATCCGAGACCGACCAACCAATGTGACCTTTGCATGGCTGATCACTTTGTTTGAGAAAGGCAAGTTCCCTTCTCCCAGCCACTGATTGGAAACATGATTCTCAGGAAGGAGTCCACAGAGGGAATTAGTGATGCGTAAAAGATCATCTTAACCATCGTATAATACACTCATTTTTAACACGATTAAAACTGTGTTTTACAATGTGGTCCATTGCATTTTACCAGGATTCTTTTACCACGTTAAAGGAGGTAGATGACCTGTTTTTTAATGATTCTCCACCACGATAACGATTGTAAACGGTCAATTTACAAGGGTGCATTTTGTAATTTACCAGTCGGATTTCGTCATTTACAATATTGTTAATTTGGTGAAAAACGTGGTTATTTACAACTACATTTATGGCGATATACAGCGGAGACTCTAGGTTACGTTGCAATGAATAGCAGTCATTGCAAGTGAGGAAATGAACCGAGTTGAGGTGAGCAAAAGACAGAAAGGTCAATTCGAGGAGTGACGAAGAAGACCCAATCCGGAAAGCATAATGCAGGATTGAAGCCTTGGGCTCACGAGAAAAGTACGGAGTTGAGTGCGAGCAAGAGACGGGTAGCATAAAAGTCGAGCATCAATTCGATTTTGATGAGGTTGATTTGACAGAGCATAACCTAATGAAAGTGGAGGAAGTCTCGGGCTGTGAATAAGACGGTAGAAGATACCATAAGTGAACTTCAACCCTTGCGCACAACTTCGCGAGGCAGTCTTTCCTTCTGAGTGGGCCAGGTTAATCGATTCAGACTTTCTTCTGTTGTGGGGCCATCATAGTGACGGCCACGGGGGTTCTTTTTTGGCAGTACTAGTAGAGGTGGTTGTCATCGGGCCTTGGTCATTATCATCGCTTTCGAATTCCAGTCGCGTTTTTTGGTTACTAGCACAGGGGGAAATTAGCAAGGCAGCAGTGGGGGAAGAGGTAGTTGGGAGATAAACTAATGAGCGTACATGGGGCCAAACTACGCCCTAAGCAGATGCACGAGCTTTTCTACCACAGGTGTGACCCTTGGGTAACATAGATTCCTGTTTGCTGTGAGAGGCTTGACGATTTTCTAAAATAAATAAATAAATAAATGCTATTTCTCATTCACCAATGAGTTAAAGACGCGTAAAGACGCGTTGAAACACGTCCAGATGGAAGCCATTCATGGCATCGCTGTCAGTGAGGCAGCATGCCCAGTGTCCATATTCATAAGTACTTGCCACTTCTGAAAAGAGTAGCTAGTTGCATAGCGAAAGGATAGTCAAATTGGGAGGAAATGAGCAGGTTGCAGAACGTGTATGGTATGGTGGAGAGGATAAGGCACTGAGTGGAATGGAAACTGCCGAGAACAACTTAGTCCGATTTCAGTCTAAGCGCCACAGTCTCTGCCCACCTACCCTTACATCTTTAAGTGCCAGCTTCCATACTTGGGGCTCCTCGCGACAAGAAACATTCCTGACAATTCCACCCATCGCAAAGTCTGTTGGAGGAACCGTGTGCTATGGGAGGCCGGACGAGTTTTCGTACAGCCACATTCCCACATCCGGGTGAGGAACTCGCCCGGACAGCCACATTCCCGCGGTAGCGTGACTACTTAGTCACAACACCTTTTCTCTTTTATATTATTTCGGACTAATCCGTGCCAGGCCACGGACATATTCATTCATTTGAATTCATTTCCTTTTCCCTCAGTTCTTCACGCATATTGGCTGAGACTGAGTCATTACTCATAGTCCAGCTCCGAGATCATAAGTCGCTCATTAACAGGTTATGAGCCCAGAGTGCTCAAAGATCTCAAACCAAAGAACTCCCGCTTCGGATTCCAATATGGACTATAACGCTTTTGATTGCATTACTAGAAACTCCGGATCACTCAGACATGATGGTTCAAATTGGGAGTTTTGGAAGTATCGCATGGAGCTCATACTAAAGAAGCGGAAATTGCTTACTCTCGCGGAAGGAGAAAGGAAGCGGCCAGACCCTACCATCCCTGACAACACTGCTTCAACATCTTTACCTCCTCAATCACCGCTTGATCAATGGGATGATGACAACGGAACTATTCTACATATAGTTACAAAGTCCGTTGATAACAAACTCAAATCCCTACTGGAGGGACTAACATCGGCAGCCGAAGCTTGGAGCCGATTAACAACCCATTTCAAAACTCGCACCCATTCCACTACCAGCCATACCACACAATCCCCTATTCCATCTCAGGATAATTCACGGACTTCAAGGAAGTCGCCCCTGAGTCATAAACCGAAGTCAGCCAACTCCACGTCAAAATCTTCCGAGAGGCCGAAGTGCCTAAATTGTCGAAAATTCGGACATGTGGTGGAAGTATGTTGGGCTGAAGGGGGTGGAGCTGAAGGAGTCAGCCCAAAGAGGAAGAAGCCGAAGGGACAGGGAACTGGTGAAAGGTCTGAAGGATTAGCCTGGACGACAAGACAAGATTGGAAACAATCTGAGACTCACCAAACCTATACTGCACACTCGGATGAGGACACTCTCCGCACTCGCAGAAGTTCCCGACATATCCATTTCATCATCGACTCTGGAGCATCGTCACATATGACAAATGATGCCTCCCATTATTCCTCTTTCCATAAACTCGAAACCCCGACTCTGATATGGGTAGCCGATAATCGTTTTATTGAGGCCAGCGGCATCGGAAATATCATTGGAAAAGTCCACCTGAATGGGAGAGACAAATCGATAACATTCCGCAACGTTTTATATGCACCAGAACTCCGGGATCCCCTGCTATCGACCACCAAGCTTTGTGACGCGGGGATAAACACGATTTTCAACAAGGAGGGTGCAACGTTGATCCGATATAGAAAACCGCTAGCAAAGGCAAGCAGAAGTGGGAATATATGTCCACTATTGGTGGATGTCGGAAAAGCTGAACTTGCGCACTCAGCTTCAGACAGCGATGCCGAGTTTACCCAAACTGGCAATATCGAACATGCGCAGGTGAAGGTCGATTCTAGGGAAGGGGGAATATGGAAATGGCGAGTAGGTGATAAACCTATGGGCATTGCAGGATGTCAGAATGGTGATTTAAGGGGGAATGAAGGTGCAGAAGTTAGGTATAACGCACCACAAATCACCAAACCAACCGGAACTCGCCCATCTATCCATCATAATTCATCCCAATCGACGTCTGGGGCTTGCGCGAAGCAGCCCATCACCTCAGAGAACTTCCCCCATCGATTGAATCGCTCGAACTCCAGTAAATCGTCCGTTACCTCGGATGTTGGTCCTAAAGTGGAATTGGGCAGAAATAGCCCAAAGGACCATTCGGATTTGATGCGAGAGGCTTGCATGATGCAGCCTATGACCACTGGTTCTACCCCCCGTCGTCCTAATCGCCAGAACCAAAGAAAAATGTCCAGTGGGTCAGACACAGACACCGGAGTGGACTCAAGCCCGAAGTATGCAAGACATTTCCCCGAAACATCTTCAACGGCATCTTCAGTGGGCGAAATCGAAATGAGTCCTTCCGTGGGCGATATGAGTGAGGACGACAAGCCGTTATTGTCAACCCCAACGGCAAAGAACAGCGATGAAGTTTTGCCATCGGCTGTAGACTCGCGGCCTGATGATATTGAGCGAATGGAAGAGAATGTGAATGAGTGGAAGAGAGGGATATGGATATGGGAAGGAGTAGAGAGAGAATCTAAGGGCGTTAGAAGACGTCAGAACGGCGATTTAGAGGGGGATAAAGGTGCTGAGATTCATGAGAGTGGAATAAGCGCACCGGAAATCACCAAATCGACGAAAACTCGCCCATCCAACCTCCAAATTCCATCAAAATTGATGCCAAGCGCTCGCGCGAAGCAGCGCATCACTACAACATCCAGTTCGCATCGACAAAGCTGCTCAGACGCGAGTAAATCATCCACTAGTTTGGATGTTGGTCCCAGAACGAAATCGGGCGAAAATGGCCCAGAGGACCACTTAAACACACCAGATTCGACGCGACAGGCTAGTACACTGGAGCCTGAGACTAACAAGTCCATCCACCGTCGATTGGATCGCAAGAGGCGATCAAGTTCGTCTGTCATCTTGGATAAAAGTTGCGGGGCAGATTCGAGCGCGGGCCTATCAGACTCATTTGAAGTGCCGAAACCGAGGCTAAGAGCGTGCACAAAACAGCCCATCGCCATAGATCTCAGACACCATCGATTCTATCGCCAGAAACCCAAGAAGTCCTCGAGTGGATGTGGTGAAAACCCAAAAATGGACTCAAGCGCGAAGTGCCAAAGTCATTCCTCAACGGAAATCGAAATGGCAACTTCAGTGGGCGCTAAAGGCGATGATGGCGAGCTATTTGGCGCATCCTTGACAGCGAAAGACAGCCATGATGTCTTTCCATCGGCTGTAGAACCGCTGTCCGACCACAGCGAGAGAATGAGGCAATTTGCTGCCTCGGATTGGTTTGACGAGATTCTCGAAGGATATGGAATTGGAAAGGAAAGAGAGGGAACCGACGGCGAAGATGAAGCAGGAATGAGCCCTAAGGATAAGGGTTATGGTCAGAATGATGACGCTTCAAGGGGGAAATTAGAGGTTAATGAAGGCAAGGTCGCACCTGTGCCAACCTCGTGGAATCGCCATATTCATCCCACAACAAATACTCTGATCCCTGATCAGGATCGATCTTCCACATTCACTCCATTATCCAAACCATTCCAAACATCCGGATCGACAGCGATGATGCCGGATCCGCGAACACTGGCTTGCCATGTCAACGGCAGCCTGCCCATCCGCCCCTATCCAATCCCGAAAGAGAAATCGACGTCGTACTTGAAGGGAAGGGCCATGAAGGCCAAGGATCTATCAGAGGATGATCATTCAGTGGGCGAAGAAATCATGGATGGAGCGAAATTGACACACCGATTGACAAGAGACAAGAAACCCGCACCGCATACAACCGGAGAACCTCAGAGTCGTCGAGGGGAGACAAGATTGAGGGAAACCTCAAACCGGGGAGCAAAGATCGTCGAGATCAATGCGGAATGTCGATCGAAAACACCGATCAGTGCGCGAATGCGCAAGGGCCGAGTTAGATTTGCTGAAAAGCAGAATCAGTAGGCCGATCCACGGGGATAACAGCTTAAGGCTGTTTGAGGGTGAATGAAGATGCTCACCGATTTCAAACCCCGTTTTATCTTTTATCTTTTATCTTGCTTTTTGTTGTTTCTTCGACAACGTCTCACATTGGACTTGTGTGATCTGGGCGTCCATTTTTTGGATAGCAGGATTTCAGCTTATTGCTAACAATGACTCTGGAGGAGCCATTGGAAACTCACCTGGACTAGTTCCAGTGGGCGCACACGTAGTGGGCGTGTTGGAGGAACCGTGTGCTATGGGAGGCCGGACGAGTTTTCGTACAGCCACATTCCCACATCCGGGTGAGGAACTCGCCCGGACAGCCACATTCCCGCGGTAGCGTGACTACTTAGTCACAACACCTTTTCTCTTTTATATTATTTCGGACTAATCCGTGCCAGGCCACGGACATATTCATTCATTTGAATTCATTTCCTTTTCCCTCAGTTCTTCACGCATATTGGCTGAGACTGAGTCATTACTCATAGTCCAGCTCCGAGATCATAAGTCGCTCATTAACAAAGTCGCGATCTAGTTTACTAATGTCTACAACAAGCCGTACCAACATATAATCGAGCTCTTGGTTATGCCTCGCTAGGGAAATCATGCATTGTCGGGAGAGGTGACAAAGTTTCCACAATGTGGGCCCAAAAACGACGAATTGAATTTAGGGACTTATCCTTCGTCTGGGTAGGAGTGTTTGAATTTCATGGCTCTCACTATTGAGCTGAAGTAGCTGTGGACTCAAATCCCCGAGCACGTCACAAAACGTCGCTTGTGAGAACATGCGTCACCTCGTTGACCTTGTCTCAGATAGCGGTGCTTACATGGATGCTGCCTTGGCACCGACCTCTTTTACTACACTCAAATTATTGCTCTCGCTTCGGTCTCTTCAGTATGTGGCCGATTTCCCTATGGTACGTACGCATTCCCGTCGTTGGGCCATCATCGATCGCAGTTGCAAGCTCGCAAGGTCAATCGACGACGATGACTAACCGAACTCCGGCCGTCCATACCTCTGACCTTTGTACAATACATCGCAGCTCGAATACCATGAATTGAGTGGTAATTTATGCAGGGAAGAGTCTGGTATTTAGCATCGTGAAACGTATATTGTAATTTACAATGAAAAAAATATCACGAAAACAATGGTAAATGGTCAAAAACCAGACCAAAAATGGTTTTTTACGGCCATTTACTTCCCACAGTGAGTCGTTTAAGCAAAGTCCCTGAGAGAAGCCGGACAATGTGGCAGTTTGTTGGGCGTGCTATTGCTGAAGTGAAACGATTGATCCAATTTCCTGACGGAGCACTTGTGGGGAATGTTTAAATGTTCCTACTGACGTGTGTAAGATAACGGAGAGTGGGTGGTGTTTCAAAGTTAAATCGTTCTGGGCAGCACGAAAGAGCGTTGACCCCATACGTGTATCCGAGCTTGAATATTTGCCTCAAAATGCCTTCTGGGGCTGTCTCATGTCCCCGTTATATCCGAGCAATATGATCGGGAGTAATTGGTTATATTTGATGTGGATTACTTCAATTTCCAGCGTCGGACATTTCCTGGGGATAATGGTAATACCCAAGCTTCCAGTGCAAGGTCTTGGAAGGTCTCCAAACCTCACAATTCATGGCAACTTATTTTTTCGCAACCTCCCGAAATTGTTCCCAGCCATCTCTAATCATATCTGCGAAAATCTCGCCCATAAGTGCAAGCGTGCACCTTGGATATGCAAAGATTGTTACCGGTTTTTTATTTCTCCTTAGACACTGGAGTATCCTTTATAATCTCTGAGGGATGGCCCCCCCAGCCCCTTAAGCGCATACACTCGAAGCTGAGGCAAGCACTCCTTGGTTCATGTTACGGTACCTACTGACGCCACGCACATTACCTGCCCAGTATAATAGCAGGATTTCTCCAAAAGTCACAATGCGATTCTGGATTGCTTTTGTCGCAATCGCTTTAGTTCCGGTTGTCGCAGCTGACTTCTACTACGGCTACGCCTGGTGCGACCCCCCGAGCGGACCTGGCACTCTTGAAACTCATGCGATTATCCTCCCCGCGAACCAGAGTGAGCCGAAGTCCAAAATGGATTTTGCTCCTGCTTAACCAATATATATTTGCCCAACAGACAATTGCCCCACTGCAACGGGCTGGTGGTCCCAGTACTACAAGCAGCAGTCCAAAAGTGTATGGAACTGGACAATCGCCGCGCAGCTTTGCGGTGCTACCGTTACGGTGGCAATTGGCAACTTTGCCGAGGTTCAACCCTTTTGGAATAGCTCAGATGGAGGAAGTGGAGAATGTTCCCACTGGCTTCCTGGCTCGCCGGACGGCACGCAAGTAATGCGGTGCAGCAAAGAATGGCGTCCATGGGGCACAGTACGATGCATCTACGTGGCCCGCGGCATCTGCGACTCGTACTTGTGCAAGTGACCAATGTAGAAGTCCAAAATTTTCGGCATCTGGGACGCGCGCTAGCTGCCTTGTCACAAGACCTGTTTATGTTCAGAGCCAGAGAGTACTGTAAAATACGCTCGGAATGATGATTGCCATTTTCATAATTCAGAGATTGCGTTTCAGAGCACCGTGGTCGGTGCATGACGTCATGACCATACAACTCAAACCTGGTCACCTCCCTTGATTAGAGGGATCGCCACGCCGTTCTGAGCCTCGCCAAGCTTGAGGCGACAGAAGTTGTTTCGTCGAACGCGTCTCTGACTCTGAACACCTTAAGGCCCAGTTACCCACCTCTCGAAGTCAAGACTCCCAGCCCGTGCCGCCTTTCGCGGCTTCGGTGAATAGCGTCAGCTCAGAAATATAACAAAAATCCATACATGAACCTCTAACTGGATCATATCGAAAATAAGACATCCGCTGCATCAGAGGTCCGCGGCGCCCCGTGGGAGTCCGCGGAGCGAGGATGGGTTCCTATTCCCTCGATAGGGCCTCAAGCATATATAACTGACTAACCTAGGGAGAACACTGGCACAGCATGGCAGTACTCTGGGAGTTGGGGGGGGCGAAACCGGATTTGTTGATGAAGTTCGGGGAAAAAATGTATGTGGGATCTCCATGCTTAGCCTGTATAAAGTGTGCACGATTGCCATCTTGGAGTAATTTGAAATTGGGATCGAGCATTAAATTGGCAGGTGTCTTGGCTTCGAGCGGTGAGGGAGGTCTACATCAGCTCTTATCTCAGTGTTCTGTCAAGATGACATATACTTCTTCTATAACATCGGATATATAGCAACATCAGCACACTGAACTTCAATGTGGCCCGAGACCGTTACATATCAAGAATCAATTCGTCCGAAGGAAACCTCCTTGACAGGATATATATGTCCCGCGATCCTTTGCGCACCCGCAGCTTGAACTAACGAATGCTCTCTGTACTCCTGAATTCCCCCGGTCCTCGCTTTCAATATCTGCCGGCAGTGATCAATATCATAGCAACAGGAATGGAGCCAAAGGACTAGAACAAAAACCCTGGAATTAGAGCCCGAGCGATAGTCATGGATACAATATTGAATGAAGGTATCATCATGTGTGAAATAGTTGGCATACCGTGCAAGAACGAGGGGCAGAAAGAATAAGGCTACAGTACTAGTGCGATGAGCGAATCAATGTCAACTTGGAAATAAGCAAGATATGCTGTAACTGTTAAGGTGTTGGGTGTGCTCGTTTCTATTGAGAATCGTCTAGTTTTGAGGTGGCGCATCTATCGAACAGTTGCGAGAGTGGACAAGGAAGGCTCACGTACTCTCCGACATTTTTCTACTGTATCCTTTGCTCTCTTTTGCAATACTGCAAAGATTAGCTAGGACGTGCTCCGACGACGGCAGCTCTCAGCACGATGTCCCAAGATCTCCGTGATTTCATCCTCTGAGTCAACATATGTCGAGGTGGGCACAATCCCTCCCTTGAGTCGTGGGCTACCCTGTCATCATCGAATAGTGAAGTCATCGTGGAGGAAAGTACCCGCTCAGCAGATAATGTCTCTTGAAGACGGGTCCAGCACGTGCTCAAGAGTGCTCGCATTAGCGTTCAAGCGAGACGACACGGACTTCAGAGGTAGAGTAGCCAGAATGGTTCAGACAAATATGCTGACCAGAATCAGATTTGGGTTGCCTCGAGCGATGGACACCCTACTTAAAGGCTGAATGGGCAAAATATAAGGAATGTATAGGGACCAAGACTGGGGCAAGTAGCTCGTTCCGTCACACAATTGGATCCTGAGATTTACTTTGTGGTGGGGTGTACGTCTTTGTGAAATCCTCCAGCGTTGTTTCTGCGCATATCGCTAGCCTTGTTACGTGGTGGATTAGCATCTTACCTACACCAAGGATTGGACGCCTCCTCAAAGGGGTTCCCCTTTAATGAACCGTCCTCGCGAGACTCGAATAATTGCTCCCCCTTCAGAGCAAGGAATGTAGGGCCCGGCCCACTGCCATTGAATCTGATTCTCATGCTCTAAAGCAGGGGCTGGCTCGATCATGCTCATGAGCCGCTCTTTCGGAGAAGTCAAGCTCCAAGTCCGTCAGATTGTGGCACCACCCGGTAATGAAGTTACAATTATGATCTGTGAGGAACGACGCGTGAGTCGTAAGGCAAGCCGGCGAACGAGCTCCAGCCCTTGCGACCCGAGCGATTGCGCCCAAGACGTGTAGTTGGTGGCACATTTTTGTTCCCACGGACGCGAGATCGGCGAGGTTGGAAGAGGGCGCAGTTTGAGTGGCCGTGCACAGCGTGGGAACAAATCCAAACCTCGTTTCCGGTAACCAGCTTCTCTTTAAGCTTGTTCACCCATCGACTACCGAAAGAATGGTGTCCTTCGTACAGCATATTACATAGACTCGCATCGCCGAACTTCCTTCCATGTCTTTGCAAACCCTCCATCTGGACGTGCTGGTAGAAATATTAACCTATCTCGAAGTCTGCGATATTCTTGCACTGCAGCGTGTGAGCCTCAGATTAACATCCACATGTATGTATCAATTCCAACTACCGGATAAACAGGCTTGCAAGGATATTAGAGACGTTACCCGACTTCATGCAGTATGGAAGAATGTCTTGGAAAAGCAGATAATTCCCTCTGGCGAATCGCTTTCATTGCCGTCTGGCGTTCCTCTATCCGATCTCTCTGTAAGCGAACTTAAACAAGCCGCAATTTATGCAGCACGCCTCCAACGCAATTGGGCATCTGGAGATCCAAGGGTGTTTGCCTATGCTGGGTTCTCCGTAGCAGTACCCTCTGCTCACGTCCAGATTGCTTTCTTCTTACCTGGTCGGGGCGGGAAGTATTTATTGACCATTAGTGATGATAATTCTGTGTCAATATGGCATTTGGAACCGAATATAAGTAGACGGAGGATTAGAAGCCGGAAGATTCTAATCTGGAGGACATCAGGGGCAATCGCTGATGCGGTTCCTAACAGTGACAGTGGAGACCGCGCGACGATAGCTCTATCCCACATTGCGAACCAGTATGTCCTCGTATTAATCATTCCAGCCATAAATTTATGCTGACTGTCTCCAGGCGTCAATATATGACTCTGTACAATATAACCTTTTCTGAGAACGATAAAGGGCAAGCTTCAGCACATTACGAACAAATATTCGAAGAGGAATTGCCTGGTCGACTGAAGGTTCTCCGTGGGGACCTGATCGGGTTGTATGGGGGATCGAACTTTAGGGGATATTTGTTTAATTATCGACGCCAGGTGATGATAGAACTGAAGGGTGCTCAGCCAATAACCCAGTTTGTCAGTGGGATGTCTTGCCACTCTACGTGCTTTAAACTTATATCTCCTTGCCTCCCTTCCATGACAGCGCGGCACACTTGGATTCTTGGCCATGGAAGTTCTCAGCGATTGTGTGATAATAATTCAACCTTTCAGCGTCGATATCTTCGCACTTCCTGATATCGCATGGAATACGGAGCCTCAACTTCCAGGAAAAGATAGTGTGTTCCAAGCGCAACTGATCTCTTCGGCCTCCCGACCCCAAATCGCGGATTGGCAATCTGGGACCATCATTCCATACTGTGCTCCATATCCTGTACAACGCACAAGTCCTCCCTCTCAACCTATCTCCATTCTTATCCGCGAAAAGAGGGGAAAGCTCCATATCATAAACCATTTTTACGTTTACAATCCACCGAAGTATGACCTCAATCTGCCCGCTCACCTCTCAATTGATGCTGCGAGCCCTGGGTCATTCATGGAAACCCCCCTTTTCGTGGCCCAACATCGTGCTGGCGTGCACCCGCATCTTTTCTGTGACATTGTGGCATCTCCAAGAAGCGGAAGAGGGCTTTGGTTAGAGAATATCATCTCGCCTGGAATGACTCGATCAGTGGGACGACTTTTTCTCTTCAATATGGGTGAAAGTATTGTAGACGGCTTTCCCTTGAGCGATATTGGACTATTCGATAATAGCGAGTCCACTTGTAGAGGGGCAAAGGTTGGGGCCAGCAATTTGCCGGATGGTGCGAGGAATTGTTCGTATTGCTCCTTTGATGATGGAACTGGGAGGGTGGTTGTAGTAACCCACGATGGACGCATTCGCGTTCTGCAGTTTGGCATTGCATGAATCGACACTCCAGGCATGGTAATAGCACATATGATACATTCGTTCATTTTTTCACTACGACAAAACCTTGCAAATGGGACGTGATCCCCTTTGGTTTTCAGGGGTTTCCCAGGCTAGCCTTCGTGCGCGGACCATTTGGTGCAGAGTCGTCCAGACCATGAAATGGGAATAAGAGGAAATGCAATGCATCCCCAATTGAGAGCTGCATCTTGCCTGGACACCAGTGAAAGAAGTGTGACGTTGATAGTGACGTCCTCAACTTCAGCGTGCACGCAATCCTGCGTGCACTGCCGGTATCTAGCTACGCTTTCCGGTTCATCTTATGCAATGTACAGAAAGGCTTTTCACGCTTCACCCCTGAAATAGACATGTCCGTGTTACCAGCAACAGTAATAGTGTGTTATGCTAGAACATGTTACTGCATCGCTAATCCAAGCGAAGCGCCAAACAGGTACCTAGCTATACAGTGTTGAATCTCAACAACTTTATAAAAAATAGTCCCTACTCTAGCAAGACCTGTGTCACGACTTGCTACACAATCAAATTCCGAAACGAGTAGGAGCATGATGAAAATGATGGAAACGCTAAAAAGTGGTGGACAATCAGGGAATACAAACTGAGCCATGATTGCGCCACTTCCAAAAATTCTAAATACTACAGAAGAATGAAACGATCAAGCCTCGGGATGGTCACTTTATTCCTCCTAGGGTTGGGATGGGGGGGTTCTAGACACGCGACGAATTGCGCATTCGCGGCTGAGATCCCGTATCGCATGAGTCCGCACTTGGTTCCGTCACATAACTGTGACCAGAGCAAGGCCAACCAACCCCCCAACCACACCTCTCATGAACGCGCCGGTGTTCGAGCTTCTGCCTCTACTGCCACCTCGAGGAGTAGGAGTGGGAGTGGGAGTGGAGAAATGTTGGGTCGTAGAGGTGTTGACCGTAGAAGTAGGGAAGGTTGTTGTTGTCAGATCTGTGCCTCCCGATAGAGTCAGCGTGGGGGTTGTGGTGGTGGTGGAAGATGTCGTGTTCAATGACAATGACCGCGAACTTTCGGGTGCGTCTATCGGGACGATCCATGGAGCATAATAGGCATTTCAGAAAAAAGAAAGACGAATGTTACATACCGCCAATTTGCATCGCAATCTCTATGTTGAATCTAGGGAATGCAATTGTTAGAATAGTACTCTCAAACCGGGGTGAAATGATCTCACAGTCCACCGTAGCTGGAAGGCTTAAGATAAGCCCAGCGGGGCACAAGAGTGCCACTAGGAATCAATGACGGGTTGTACTCACCCTCGGTGGTCGAGATATTGGTGCAGTCGATCGTCCAAGCCGGATACCTGGGTTACGGATGAGAATCATCGTTAGCACTTGTGAAGATCGACATACGATATGAATGTCCGGTTCTGGCATGCCCCACACGCCGACATTAGCTCGTACACAATGGAGGTGCAAGCGCCTATGAAAATTTGAGATTTTTGAGCGAAAGCAAATTCAATCGGGTCGTAGACAGACTGGAGCACGCACAATAGTTTGGAGCATTTGTCTCGCTACCCTTCACCGGACCTTGGTTGTCTGCTGAGCACATAAAGTCCGGGTAAATGGTGTTACGCGCTCACCAATATAGTGATATCCCGGCGGGAGGGAGACCACAATCGATCCTAATCGTGGTGAAGTCAGTAGATGCAAAAAGCGAACAACGAGCCCAGATCCAATCCGTACCCCCGTCACACACTGCTTGGAGTTCTGACGCAACCTTACACGGGTTTTCTCTGATAATCATTCCAGTTGCATAAAGGCGACCACTGACAACTGACAGTCGGTAACTCACTTGGCACTATTCAACGCCTGGAGAAGTGAGGAGTCTTTGAGCGGCCCTGGAACAGATATAGCCTCTCAATATTCCACCTACCCAGTTAAAGCTGGGGAGACAGGTGGCGTTCGTCTGCAAGAAATTCCAAGGTGATGGACAACGTCAATCTTCTCTTGATAAGGCTAGTTTTCAAGAAAGACGTACATCTTGCGCTAACACTTTGTCCGCTCCATACGCTAGAAAGAGCAAAGAGAAAAGAAGCGTTTGACATACAATTGAATCCATCGTGATATGAGGCCAAGATGAGTGGGCCGCTCGTGATTGAGAAGACGACATCCTTCAGTTCAGGTATTTACCACGACACGTCCAGGAACCAAAAAGCCGAAGCTACCAAGGCCTAGGGGATGAAAGGAGAGATTCCGGCGAAGGTCATTCGGCCTTATATGAATGTGTCTTGAAGGGAATTCCAATATGGGAAGGAGTATTGGATCTGAAAGCCGTGATATTACTGCCTGATTCTATCATCAACCGCCTCGTCAAACAACGCCTATCAAGCGCAGACCGAGCACTGTCCTGGAACCCCAAGTACCGAGCCAAAAGACGAGCCTCTGGACAAGCGCCTGCATGAGTTGGCACACCTTTCGTGTGCTTGGCATGCCTTGCAATGTGCTTGGCGTGCCTTGCGTGATGGGAAGAGGCCTAAAATTGGAATCTGGCTCGGCTCGGCTGATAAAGCGGTCAGATGTTCAAGCGGTATGTAAATCCTCTTGCAAAAAAGCCCAAGTACTGAAGCCCGATTGAGCGCCCGATTTGGATGTCCGTGCGGGTCATGTGTAATTGTCCAAAAATGGTAGCAAACACTCGACATCCATTTTCCTAAATAGTGAAATCACATGACCCTACTGGCCATCGGAGCACGGCAAACTCCATAGCACTGGCCCGATAGATTCAATTCGCCAAGCAAATTACATTGGTATCCTTCTCTTCGGGTTGGATCATCAGCATCAGCTTGTCCATTTCAGAGACGTGACAATAGCAACGGACTAGGGGGCCTCAAGGCCTTGACTCCCACAACAAAGTGGATGAACGTTCGGTTCTTTGATAGTGGAAAGCGTCTTACTCGGGGAAAGTGCTCTAGAGACGTCGCATGCCCTCATGTCATGATATCACTCCCACGCTCCCACATTTCCAAATGTCTTTGAGCTCTCCACTATACCACTCTCAACTGCCAATTCCATTCTAGCCATAGTACAAGCTTGCTAATGTATGTCGAGTAACGGCCACAGTTCGAGGCCATTGAACCTGGTGTGACAGTCCGGTTGACTCACTCCAAATTCATTATTACTCAGAACTCTCGGAGGCGCACGACGACCCACTGGCCTAACCGGGCTTTATCCTGTTGTGGCTGGGATCCTGCCCAATATGTTGCGTCCCAGAGCCTCGGCGGGCTCTCATCTCCCCTCGAACTATCCCGAGTGAAATAACGCATTGTTACATTGGGGTCACCTGCTCCGCTGAGGGGAGAGAAGCATAATTCAATCCTTCCTAGGGGCGATCGAAACAAAAAGAAGTGTGGATAGTGACGTCCTCAACTTCAGCGTGCATGCAATCCTGCATGCACTGCCAGTATCTAGCTACGCTTTCCGGTTCATCTTATGCAATGTACAGAAAGGCATTTCACGCTTCACCCCTTGAAATAGACATGTCCGTGGTACCAGTAACAGTAATAGTGTGCTATGCTAGATTGAACATGTTACTGCATCGCCAATCCAAGCGAAGCGCCAAACAGGGTACCTAGCTATACAGTGTTGAATCTCAACAACTTTACAAAAAATAGTCCCTACTCTAGCAAGACCTGTGTCACGACTTGCTACACAATCAAATTCCGAAACGAGTAGGAGCATGATGAAAATGATGGAAACGCTAAAAAGTGGTGGACAATCAGGGAGTACAAACTGAGCCATGATTGCGCCACTTCCAAAAATTCTAAATACTACAGAAGAATGAAACGATCAAGCCTCAGGATGGTCACTTTATTCTTCCTAGGGTTGGGAGGGGGGGGGGTTCTAGACACGCGACGGGTTACGCATTCGCGGCTAGGACCCCGTATCGCACGAGTTCGAAGGGTCCGCACTTGGTCCCATCACATAACTGGGATCAGAGCAAGGCCAACCAACCCCCCAACCACACCTCTCATGAACGCGCCGGTGTTCAAGCTTCTGCCTCTACTGCCACCTCGAGAAGTAGTCGTGGGGGTGGAAGTGGCGATCGTAGGAGTGCTGACCGTGGAAGTGGAGAAGGGTGTTGTTGTCGGAGCTGGGGTTCCCGAGGGCACACCCACCGCGGAAGTCGTGGAGGTTGTGGTAGTGGAAGATGTCGTGTTCAATGACAATGACCGCGAACTTTCGGGTGCGTCTATCGGGACCATCCATAAAGCACAATAGGGATTTCAGGGAAAAGAAAGACGAATGTCACGTACCGCCAATTTGCTTCGCAATCTCTATGTTGAATCTGGGAGAATCCAACTGTTAGAATAGTACTATATCTCAAACCGGGTGAAATGATCTCACAGTCCACCGTAGCTGGAAGGCTTAAGATAAGCCCAGCGGGGCACAAGAGTGCCACTAGGAATCAATGACGGGTTGTACACACCCTCCTTGGTCGAGATATTGGTGCAGTCAATCGTCCAAGCCGGATACCTGGGTTACGCATGAGAATCATCGTTAGCACTTGTGAAGATCGACATACGATATGAATGTCCGGTTCTGACATGCCCCACACGCCGACATTAGCTCGTACACAATGGAGGTGCAAGTGCCTATGAAAATTTGAGATTCTGAGCGAAAGCAAATTCAATCGGGTCGTAGATAGACTGGAGTACGCACAATAGTTTGGGCCATTTGTCTCACTACCCTTCACCGGACCTTGGTTGTCTGCTGAGCACATAAAGTCCGGGTAAATGGTGTTACACTCTCACCAATATAGTGATAGTCCGGCGGGAGGGACGTCACATCCCATCCTAATTGTGGTGAAGTCAGTAGATGCAAAAAGCGAACAATGAGCCTAGATCCAATCCTCACCCCCGCCACACACTGCTTGGAGTTCTGACGCAACCTTACACGGGTTTTCTCTGATAATCATTACAGCTGCATGAAAGCGACCACTGACAACTGACAGTCAGTAACTCACTTGGCACTATTCAACGCCTGGACAAGTGAGGGGTCTTTGAGCGGCTCTGGAACAGATATAGCTCGATATACCACCTACCCAGTTAAAGCTGGGGAGACAAGTGACATTCGTCTGCAAGAAATTCCAAGGTGATGGACAACATCAATCTTCTCTTGATAAAGCTGGTTTTCAAGAAAGACGTACATTTTGCGCTAACACTTTGTCCGCTCCATACGCTAGAAACAGCAAAGAGAAAAGAAGTGTTTGACAGAGAATTGAATCCATCGTGAGATGAGGCCAAGATGAGTGGGCCGCTCGTGATTGAGAAGACGACATCCTTGAGCGCTGGAAGCTACCAAGGCCTGGGGGATGAAAGGGGACATTCCAGCGAAGGTCATTCGGCCTTATATGAATGTATCTTGAAGGGTATTCCAATATGGGCAGGAGTATTAGATCTGGAAACTGTGATGTAGCTGATTCTATCGACCCGCCTCATCAAACAACGCCTGTCAAATGCAGACCGAGCACTTGCCTGGAACCCAAGTACCGAGTCAAAAGACGAGCCTCTGGACAAGCGCCTGCATGAGTTGGGACACCTTGCATGTGCTTGGCACGACTTGTATGTGCTTGGCGTGCCTTGCATAGTGCTCGGCTCCGAATTCGAGTACTTATGGGGAGTAATGGGAAGAGGCCCAAAATTGGAATGACAAACAATCTGGTTCGGCTCGGCTGATAGAGCGGTCAGATGTTCAGCAGTCTCTTGCAAAAAGGCCCAAGTACTGAAGCCCGATTGACCGCCCGATTTAGATGCATGTCTGTGCGGGTCATGTAATTCTCCAAAAATGGTACCAAACACTTGACATTCATTTTCCTAAATAGGGAGATCACATGACCATACTGGCACGCGCCGATTTCCTTTCGGAGTCGGAGCACGGCAAACACCATAAGCACTGCCCGACAGATTCAATTCGCCAAGCAAATGACTTACTTACATTTGTATCCTTCTCTTCGGTGGTATCTGCCTATCTCTTTCTCTTCGAGTCGGATCATCAGCATCAGCTTGTCCACTTCAGAGATGTGACAACAGCAACGGGCTAGGGGGCCTCAAGGACTTGACTTCCACAACAAAGTGGATGACCGTTCGGTTCCTTGAAAGTTGATATAGTGGAAGCGACTTACTCGGGGAAAGTGCTTAGATCCAGAGACGTCGCATGCCCTCATGTCATGATATCACTGGTTAGTTGCTCTTTTCAAGTCCCTGTATTCAATTCAGCTCTCTCTCTCCACACGCTTCCAAACTCTTGGTTTGGATATCCACTCTATTCGGGCTGCAGCAATGCAAGTTTGGCTAAAGTAATTACCTTGGTTTCACGGTGGAGGTCTTATTGCTCGTCTAGAGTCCAATGTGCATCTATCAGTGTTCATGATGGGAATTGACTTCCCCCAGATTCACCTCGGAGGCATTTTCTAAGCTAGCTTCTCTCAGGGGAGTGCGCATTCTTTGGTCTAACTAGGCTTCGCTCTATTTGAAGGAGATTGTAGGTCGCCCCGCGTACCATTGACTCAATCAAATCGAATGTCGACACAGTTATGTCATATGCAAGTCGGACCACGCATCATATTGGAAAAATGACTTTACTTGTTGGAAATGGGAACTGCAGTCTTGTTGACGGTTTCCAGCGGGTATGGCCGCTATGCTCCCTGGGCTTCGGATATACGAGTCGGGTGTCAAAGTGATCTGTGATGCTCTTCACCATTCAAGCGCCCTCCCACCTTCCAAATGTACCTGAGCTCCCTACTATATCACTCTCAACTGCCAATCCCATTCTGACCATAGTACAAGCTTGGCTAATGAACATCGAGTAACGGCCACAGTTCGGAGTGGACAACCCATCGTTCGTCTCGATAACTTAACTAAGGCCATTGAACCTGGTGTGACGGTCCGGTTGACTCAGTCCAAATTCATTTCGCAGTCATTTCTACTCAGAACTCTTGGAGGCACACGGCGACCCACTGGCCTAACCGGGCTTTTATCCCATTGAGGCTGGGATCCTGCCCAATACGTGATGTTGCATCCCAGAGCCTAGGCGGGCATTCACTTCCCCTCCAACAACCCCTATGCCGAGTGAATAACGCATTGTTGCATTGGGGTCACATTTGAACTCACTCGCTGGTTCCCAAGTTGAAGCTCATATGTACATATAATGACGAGATGAATAGATGTAGCGAACGAATGCTTGAAACTTAATGATAGCGACAGGCTTTTACGGTTCGAAGAAACAGACATCCGAGTCTGTCACTATTTTTTGCTTTACAGCAAATTTGCTATCTACGTAGCCAGAAATCGAAATGAGACCAGGTCAAGCACGTACCATTTGTGTGAGAGAAATCGAATTTCTTTCTCTCGCCTCTTTGCATCATCTGCTGACGGAAATAGCAGCGCAACGGCACATAGCTAGCTGATATCATCAACTCACGGCCAACCCTAGTGGACTTTTTCACCAAATCACTTTTATTTTAACAAAGGACAAGCCTCCCTGGTGTTCGGTTCTGCCAGGGAACAATTTGAAGAGGATTTTCAAAAACGGTCCTCCGTGCAAGGGGAGGATCCATGTTTTTATTTTTATCCAAATGGATAGTGAAGATAGATGGACATCCGATGTCGATCACCGCGGCAACCCGTTCCAATGCCCGGTTCTGTTAGCCCCTAAATGCTCCGCGCGTATCAAGGACATTACAGAGAACTGCTGCATAACTCCCTCTCATGCCTTGAGAGTTATCCTCTTCCTCTTCATCCACGAATCAAGGAGCTGACCTCAACACCGGTTGAATCTCAATTTGTGTCTTGTGCATCTATGCCACACGACTAGCCCCACCAGGGACCCGAAGCGTCAATGACGCATGGGAGGATACGATATAACAAACAAGACTACATTGGCTAAAATGCCAATCAGTGGTTCACACTAATATCGGAGGCAGGCTCGAGTGCTGGTGCTAATGCCACCAAGTGCGTGCGTGTAGCCGCTGAGAAAAGATGAGCTAAGTAGTTACAGCGGTGGAAATAAGCCCAGCGAAGCAATATGAGAGGTGCAAGGACGCCAATCGTCCAAGCCATCATGATCGCGCGTTCGCACGAGCGCCCTCGGAGCACTTCCCTGTCCTCAACTTTCGCCAAACCAGTGACTCCGACAGAGGCAGAGTACAAGACAAAGTAGTGCGTCTGTCCCCGTGTTGAACCAAAAGGCGGCAGGGTGTAGTGGGAGAGGGAGGGATCAGAGGGATCAAAAGGTATATATAATACGTATACGGTAACTCCCGCTCTACCGGATCTCGGATCTGGTTGGCTTGCATCAAAAACAGCTCCTGAGGTTGAGCCGTTGCGTCGTTGTGCCGGTTCGGAACACGGAAGCAGGCTCCATGAAGTAGATGAAGATTATGTGTGGATTAAAATAGTAGGCTCATATGTAGGTCAGCCATGAAATGAGTCAACAAATAACGCTGACGAATTGAACCACAGCGCTCACTGTGATGTTGCTTGGATGCCTTCCCACACACAACTCCTACAGTCCTGGGGAAAGTGTAAGGCAGTGGTGACATCATGGGTGATGTTACGAAATGGTTGGGGTATTGCAAGGTGGGATCGTGTACGGATCAGAGAAGATACTAGGATAGGCAGGATCGAGTGCTGTAATTGAACAAGTCCTTTGAAGTGCCGGTTACTTCTTGACTCACTTGTGTAGCGTCTATGTACCCAAGATGGGACCAAGAAGGCATTTCACCAATGAAAGCACGAACCATGAGTGCCCTCACAAGATTCCCCTCGAAAACGAGATTCCCTTTCGGGCATAGGGGGATTCGGAGGCCAGGCTCCGCCCAGTTACCAATTCGAAGCAATTGCCCCCACGCAAATTGGGTCACCTTCTTCGTTGTCAATAAGCCAAAACAGTCAAGGCGTGCGTTTAGTCAACGATGATCCATCGTGACCTGGCCTTGCGGAAGGGCAGAACTTTCGTCCCTTTGACAGAATGGGCTTTCCTAGAATCCCAGACGGCAAAAACCCCTGGGTATGGGAGCAAAGGCGCAACTGCACCGGGAAGACTGTGGAACCTCATAACCAATTCTCACGACGCGAAGGAATAGAAAGGGAAAAAAAACCACGTTTTTCTAGGCCAATTCAATTTGCCCATTGAGTACTTCCCTTTTTGAGATCTTCCCCCAAAACCCCAAGCAGAAATTTAGTATTCGTATAAAATACTTGTGGTCCCTTCAGCACGGCCTTGTTCTCTTCTCTCCTCCTTAGAGCAACCTCTCCCCTCCCTTTTCCTTTCCTCTCCGTTAGAAAATAGAAAAAAGATGACCGACGCTACGCTCAGGCAGCGTTCGAATCGCAAGGGTCAGGTCCAAACGGACACTGAACTCGAGACCTTCGTCGTCCCCAATCTCACCATCAAGGACCTCTTGAGTGTCATCCCGTAAGCCTATCATCCCCAAACTACCTCCCACACTCGCCAGCTAACCAAAAAAAATTCATACCCACTGTGTCAAAGTCCTCACTGCTTTGAGCGCAGCACCCTCCGCTCATTCTCCTATGTCTTCATGGACATAATAATCATAGCTGCCCTCGTCAACGCCTTCCAAACAGCCGATCCATACATCTCCCCAGAACACATTTCTCTCCCACACCCTTCCCTGTATCGGATCGCTAAATTCTGCCTCTGGACGTTCTATGGATTCTGCGTTGGTTTGCCTGCGACCGGATTGTGGGTTCTTGCCCATGAATGTGGCCATCAGGCCTTTTCGCCCAGCAAGACGATCAACAATGCTGTTGGATGGGTTTTGCATTCTTCGTGAGTCCCAACTTTCTCATGTTGTGTTCGCGTTTGGATATTGCGTATCGTTCTGGAGGCTGACCCACATCTTCATTGCCTTCCCGCAGCCTCGGTGTTCCATTCCACTCGTGGCGTATCTCTGTGAGTACGATCCTTCCAGTTCCTCTATCGCGTTCGCACACACACGTCGCGTGTTCCCCAATTTGCTGTTTTTGCATCCGGCTCGGAGACAAGACTTCTCCCCAACGAATTCTACACATCCTTCTTACATAAAAAGAGTTGCCATCACAGCCTACTTACGTTTGCCCTCACCTTCGTATATAGCACGCTAAACACCATGCTCATACCGGCCACATGACCGAGGACCAAGTCTTCGTCCCCAAAACCCGATCAAACCATCCTTATGGCGTTCCCAAATTCAATAAAGAAGGCGAAGACCTCCAAGGTTCCCACGTCTCCATTGGAGTCCAGAACCAACTTTGGGAAGCTCTAGGTGACTCACCCATCAGTGCCGTCCTATGGTCCACGGCGCAGCTTTCACTTGGTTGGCCCTTGTATTTGACGATCAATTCGAGCGGTCAAAAGTGGTATCCTCGTGGAACGAACCATTTCAATCCCTGGGCGAGGGCGTTATTCAAGACGACCGAGTTGGGACAGATTTTGATTTCGGATGTGGGAGTGGCGCTTTGGTTGGCTGGGATGTGGTATGGTGCCAAGACGTATGGATTGCATAACATGCTTTCGTATTACTTCGTTCCGTATCTTTGGGTTAACCAGTGGGTTTTGTTCGCCTCGACACTTTTTTACCATGTTAATGGGCGTTCTTCCTCATCTGTGTAGCTGGCTTGTGATGATCACTTTCCTCCAACACACCGACCCTCTCCTTCCTCATTACCGTGGCAACGCATTCACCTTCCCCGCGGAGCCCTTTCCACTTTCGACCGCAGTCTCATGGGAGGCCCAGGCATCCTAGGAAGCATCATGGGCTGGTTCGGAGCCACCCTCACACACGGCATCTCAGAGACCCACGTCTGCCATCACGTCTCTTCCAAAATTCCCCATTACAACGCTTGGGAAGCGAACGCTGCGTTGAGGAAGAGGATCTCGCAGGAAGGAATCGATTTGGATGGTGGTCCCGGCACCTGGGGCGAGGTAGTAAGGATCATTCAGGAGTGCAAGTTTGTGGAGGATGAAGGGGACGTGGTGTTTTATAAGAATGCGAGAGGGTTTGCGAAGAGGGTCGCTGTGTTCAAGGAGCAGAGCGCTTCGGCTTCTGATTCGGGGATTGATGTTGATGAGGAAGGGGATAAGAAGACTGCTTGAGAAAGTGTGCGGTTTCTTGTGTGGTTGTTCTGCTTTGATGATTACATAGGTCTTGCTTTTTTTTTTATCCCCACTGCTCCTTATGAATCCTTTCACGTCCTCCTTCATCCTCTCAGACTCTTCAGTGGTGTGGGCGCAGGTGGTCGTTGACACCGAGTTACCTGATCACTTTCCTCGTCGCACATTGTATGCATGCACCCCTGGTGATAATTCTTTTCGCCGTGCATGTCACTTTTCCTCATGCATTTATTTCTGTAGATGATTAGATTGAGAAGAAAATATATCTCCTTTTCCCCGCTGAGCTCGAGAGTCAAATCTGAGTGCGTCGACATTCTTAGCGGTGATTGCATGTAGCCGCGCGCCTCAATGTGAATTCATTTGAAGGACTCCCTCGTGATTTATACTAGCGCGGTACAACCAAGTACAACTTCCTATCCCCTCACAGCCTCTTTCGCCTTACTACCAGCTTGCTACCACCAATAACGGATAGTGGATGTTTGTGGAAATGTTAAGGCATGCTACGCCTGTCAATTGCAAATGAGAGAAATGCTCAGGTGTGGAATCCAATAACGTTCCTTGTCTCACCCTCGTGCCACCTTCAAAGCTCCCTCCACAAGAACCTCTGGGTTATCCCCCCTTCAGGGCTTCTGCTGAGCCACTCTCTTCACAAAACCTTTGAGCCACCCCTCTCGGGGATTCCACCAGCCATCCTTGGGGGCCTTCCCCTACGAGAACCCCTGAGCTGTGCTTCTCTGAGTTACAGGCCTCCCTTCGGACTTCCAGTCTGGATCCTTTAATCCATACGGCAATTCCGTCTCAGGGTATCCGCCAGCCCTCAAATCTTTCGCGTCCAGATTATTAAACCCTCTCAGTCACGTGAGAGGGCCACTCAGACTGTCATATTGTAGATCTTGCAATAAGAAGGCTGCTTGAGCCGTGTACGGTTCATTATGAAATGCCCTTGCTCGGTGTCCCCTGTCATGATTGGTTTTGCGTCTCTATCCTCACTTCCCGTGAATCCTATCCTTTATCCTCTCGGACTCTGCAGTGGTTGGTCGCTAGGGGTCGTTTTCTTTTCTCTCTATCGTGCATTGCATACATGTACCGTGGTGATAATTCCTTTCGCCATCCATGTCACTTCCCTCACGAGTTTATGATAGTTGAGAAGAAAATACACTTCCTTTGCCGAACTTCAATCCATGAATGTCAACGCTCATCGTTGCGGCTGCGTGCCGCGCGCCTCTTTCCTAATAGGATTCTTTTGAATGCCTGCCTCGTGTTTGACGGGTGCTGGCCTAGTATAAATAACCCCCCACTATGTAAGTAATCTCTCCAGACTTCTTTCGCTATACTACCAGCAATAAACGCACGATGGAATTTTCCCCCCAGCGTCAGGACTGCCTTACCTGTAGAGTGCGAAAGAAAAGATGTCCAGGTCTGGAGCCCAGCGATGAATCTTGTATCGAATGTCGCCGACTCGGTCTCCAATGCGTGAGGTCCCTTTCTAACTCGAATAAGCACCACGCTCAGTGACCTTCAGTTATCCGAAGCCCGCATGAAGCTCTCATTCAAATCACAGGTCCAAGCCACACGGCGGGCGAGATCCGGCCGTCGTTCTGTCGGCCCTATGCCCGTCCACCTTTTCCCCCCCGACTTTTCACTTGCCAGCTCTCTGCCACCCCCCAGCCCTCTGCATGATTCTCCAAGGGAGTTCCATGTTGCACCTGTAGATGAGGTTGAGATGTTGATTGCGTTTGACTGCCCTGATCTCACCCAACATATATCATCGTTGCACCAAGTCGACAAAGGAGGATATTCGCTTGTGTACAAAGGTACATGGGAGCGTGGTTCACCAGACACTCAGTCCCAGGTCAGCAATTGTTTTTGCCCGGCTTCAACTTGCAACTGATTCGAGATGGATCCAGGAAGTTGCTGTCAAAGTGCTTCACGTGTCGGATACAGACCCCGAGGCAAAACGTTGGAAGGTGAGTAGGCCTGTGGAAGGACGATATTACCAAAAATAACACTCGCACTGTAGCGCCTGAAAAGAGAGATGCGAGTATGGTCACGTCTAAGCCATGTGAATCTTGTTCCGCTACTCGGCTATGTGTATTATCAAAATGGCCAGCTTGGCTTCGTCTCTCCATGGTATACAAAAGGGAATGCAATCAACTTCATCAGGAACCATCCTGGTGCCAACAAAGACATGATTGTGCGCATCATTTTGGTTATTTTCTTATTTGAGGAGTTGATGGACATTCCTAAGTGTGTGGACGTGGCCTCAGGATTGGAATATCTTCACTCACAAAACCCATCAATTGTGCATGGTGATGTCAAGGGAGTAAGTGGGTTGCCTACTTTTGGAATTGATATTAAGGTTTTTTTAGCAAAATATTTTGATCACTTCGGATGGACGTGCTTTGATCTGTGATTTCGGCCTGTCGATGATCTTGGACGATAATCCCACTGGATTTACATCTACTGTGATTGGAATGACCATTCGCTTCTCGGCACCTGAATTACTGGATGGGGGTGAGAAGACGGTGGAAACTGATGTTTACGCTTATGGGTGCACTTGCGTTGAGGTGAGAGCTCCAATTTTCGTTAATCGTTAATTCTTACGAGTTTGAGACTTTGACACACAGATATTACTAGGGAAATCACCGTATGAAGATATCCGCAGCGATATGGCTCTGATGAAGGCAATTGCAAGTGGCACGCTGCCCGTCTCTCCTGAACAGCTCAAGGAGTGCGATTCATGCCTCCCTCTTCATATTGTAAATCAATGTTGGAGTAGCAAGCCGTGCGATCGACCAGGGGCTGTGGAATTGGCTAAAGCGTTTAGGGGTGCGTTTGGCTTGTGAAACTTTCGAGGCCAAATTACACCTCTAAAGAGTAGGGGGATTGGAGAGCACTTCGAAATACCACTATCTGCGTCGGAGGACTATCTCCCCCATGGGCTCGACCAACCTGTCCACAGTCATTTTGACTTTAGTCCCTTTTATTTGTGATGCTAATCCATTTTTCGCATCAAACACGATGTCAACACAACACACTTGGTTTGTTATCTTCACTGTGCCACATACATATGTACTTTCCCTTCTCCCCTTTGACTATCAATATCTGCGAATTCGTGGGACCATTGCTTCACTTGTGATGATACACCGAAAAAGTCGTCTGGAATATCGTTATTTTTTATATAACATCTTACCCCAGTCAATCAGTGAGTTTTACTCGCTTCGTTCACGTTCATCGCCTTAATCATGCTGATGTGCGTTCGGTCATTTTCCCCTATCTGTCTAGTTGGCTTGTGATGATCCTTCTTCCAATACGCTGACCCTCTCCTCCCCTCACTACCCCGCAGGCGCATTCACTTTTCCCTGCAGAGCCCTCTCCACTTTCGATCATAACATTATGGGGGACCCCAGGAAGCATCATGGTTGGTTCGGACCCACCCTCACTCTGCATCTCAGAGGCTCACGTCTACCCACGTGTCTCCATATAACGTCTGGGGAGCGAACGCGCGTTGAAGAAGTGGACCACGAAGGGAGGAATCGGTTTGGATGGCGGTCCCGGCACGTGGAGGGAGGTGGCGAAAATCATTCAGGAATGCAAGTTTACGAGGATTTGGTGTTTTACAAGAATGCGAGAGGGTTTGCGAAGAGGGTTGCTGTGTTTAATGAGCAGAGCGCTTCCTGCCTCCGATTTGGGGATCGATGTTGATGAGGTTTTGCATCTATCGGACGCATCGACCGTTCTCTTTCGTCTATCGTGCATTGCATACCCCACGAGTTCATTTCCGTAGTTGATAGATTGAGAAGGACTTTTTGCTGAGTTCCAGCCCTTGCATGTGGACGTTCGGCTTTGTGGTAATTGCGTACAGCCGCCCGCGCCTCTTCCCTGATGGGGATTCATTTGAATGCCTCTGTTTGATAGCTGTGCTAGACTGGCAGTGGTATAAGACACGTACCTTACTAGCCTACTAGCCTGGCCTGGCCCCTTCAACCTCCCCAACTTCCTTTCGCTAGACCAGGAATAACGCAAGATGGAAGTTTCTAGGTTGGATCGGAGGGGTGGATCGGGGAAGTGCTATGCCTGTATGATGATGGGGAAAAAATGCGTCAGGCTGCCTAATGTCGTCTCCTGCCACCAATGTGCTCGATACCATATCGCTTGTCCGGGACGCAGTCCCCTTCCGACTCAAGTAAGCACCGCGCCCACTCAAATTTCCAGATGAACCAGATACTATGTCTGCGCACTCACACCCATGTATAGGATGGATGGACGCTTGATGAAGTCCGTAACGAAGTCAGATCGTGGATGGCAAGCCGACCAAAGCGGGAGAACGCCGCGATATTAAATTTGGCAGAGATTTTCAAGCGATATGAGCCCCCCCGCCCCTTACCTGCTGACCCGTCGCCCACCGACCATCTGCCCACTGACCGTTCCGTCCTCTCTGGGCTACAAGCCAAGTTTCGGGCCCCCAGCCCTTTGCATGCCGACCTTCCACCAAACCAGGACAACAATCCTCAAAAATCTTGTACCTCTTCATCTCGGAGGAGCGCGGGTCGGGTTCTCGGCGGCTATGAAAGAGGTTTGGCCAGAAATCCCCTTGCGACTCTTCCCCAGCCCTCTACATATCATCCAACCGAGAGTCGTGTCGATCCTGTAGTTGAGGAGGGTATTAATTGCCCTGATCTCGCCCCATATATCTCCTTAGTGCGCCAAGTTGCCGTAGGAGGATACTCGCTTGTGTACCAAGCCGAATGGGAGCGTGATTCGCCAGACATTCGGTCCCAGGTCAGCGAACATCTCCCCCAAGCAACCGATTCGGAATACACTAGTCAGGAAGTCGCCGTGAAATTGCTCCACGTGTCGGATACAAAGGATTTGGACCCCGAGACGAAAAGCTGGAAGGTAAAGTAGACCTGAGCAAGGACGATAGTGCCAAAGTAAATAACGCCTCAGGTACTGTAGCATCTGAGACGAGAGATACGAGTATGGTCACGTCTAATGCACGTCAATGTTGTTCCGCTGCTCGGCTATGTGCATTGTCAAAATGGCCAGCTTGGCTTCGTCTCTCCATGGTATCCAGAAGGGAATGTAATCGACTTCATCAAGAATCATCCTGATGCTAATAGAGACATGATCGTGCGTGTTATGCCTTTTATTTTTGAGGCTAGGAGGATTGATGAACATTTCTCAAGTGTGCCGATGTAGCATCAGGATTGGAACATCTTCATTCACAAAACCCATCGATCGTGCATGGAGATATCAAGGGAGTAAGTGATTTACTTGCTATTGGGATGGTTGGGATTCTGATATTAGAGTCTTTCAGCACAATATTCTGATCACTTCGGATGGACATGCTTTGATCTGTGATTTCGGCCTGTCGAGGATTTTGGACGACAACCCCACTGGGCTTACATCTACAGTGGTTGGAATGACCCTTCGCTTCTCAGCTCCAGAGTTACTACATAGTGAAAGGAAGACAGTGGAAACCGACGTTTATGCTTATGGGTGTGCTTGCATTGAGGTGAGAGCTCTAACTCTCATTTATCGTTAGTTTTAGTTTTGAGACTTTTTCCGCTCAGATCTTACTAGAGAAGATGCCGTATGAAGGTATCCGCCACGAAGGGCCCCTCGTAATGGCGATTGAAAATGGCACTCCGCCTATCTCTCCCCAACAACTTAAAGAGTGTAACTCACTCCTTCCACTTCGTATGTTAAGTAGATGTTGGAAGAAGGAACCGTCCAGACGACCACGGGCTGAAGAATTGGCCGAAGCATTTCGAGGCGCGTTCGTGAGCCATGCATGAACTCGTGCACGTCTTGATCGGCTGCGGGGGTGAAGCTCATGATCGTTATATTTTGCCTCTCATATCATTTCCCTCGACTAATTCACCGGCACCATTTTGTTCGCTGGTGAAACCAATCACCACACGGATGCAGGGGACCATTGAATCGACCACTTTGCTGGAGCATCTCGAGACACGCCCGTGAGGCGTACAAAGCCAGACAATCGCTCGATCCCGAATGTGAGATCACGGATATCAAGTGCGGGATGCAGTGATGTTAGTCTCGGCTCTGATAATGCACTATGACGCTCGTTATTTTCTTCATACGCTACACACAGTTTCACATGTTTCATGAGGACTATTTCCTCTAGAAGCTTAACATGATCCGAATGGGCAAACCGATAGCAGTCATAGCGCAGGTGAATAGAGGAAATAACAGCAGGCTGCGCACGGAGGCAACTAGGACAATTGACACAGCATTGAACGTAATACAAAGGGGAGAAATAAACACCGATGTGTAACGGCGGGTGTATAGCTGGAGCAGCTCTGTGGTCTTATACCAGCCCCCAAAAGACAAAAATCGGCACGTCCGATCATTTTAGCATCCTCTATTGAGCCCAACTCGAAGGCAAGACTCAGGCAACCACACGCACACGGTTTTTAGGGATGCGTTTGGCTTGTGAGACGTACGAGGCCGAATCAAATCAGTTGGAGAACACTCCGAAATATTACCAATATCGGTACAAGCTTGATGTAATGGACCATCTGTGCATATTTGATCTCAAGGGGTGATACACTGAAGACTCGTTTTGAATTCGTTGTTTACTGTAAGGCTTCGTTCGGTATGAAGAAACAGGCCTGTTTCTTCCAGTTTTTCAATTCAATATTCTCTCTCATTTCTTCTACCTAAAGAAACACGCAATTTTTGTATTAAGAAACAGGAAGAAACAGACCAAAGAAACCTGTTTCTCCATACCGAACGAAGCCTAAGGACTTACTTAACGTACGCTGCTCGGCTCAATGCCAAGACAACCATGCTCCAACTTGGTCCGACGAATCGTTCCTCCGATTTCAAATCCGAATTGCTCAAAGTCGCGATCGTGAACGCTCACTCATGATTCACTATCAAGACGAACGAGTCGGGAAGATTTTGATTTCGGACTTGGGCATTGCGCTTTGGTTGGCTGGAGTGTTGTATGATGCCAACATGATTTCGCTCCGTCAATGAGTGAGTTTCAATTTTTTCCTTTATCGTGCTGGTAGACGTTCGCTTTTTCCCTTGTAATGATCACTTTCCTCCACTACACTAGACCGACGTCGATCTTTTCCCTCCCGCTGTTGCGCGTTTATGCATGCACCTGGGTGATAATTTCTTCGCCATCCCTTCCCTCATCAATTTTGCCTTTGTAGAGATACATTAAGAATATATATACTAACCTCCAATCCATGGGCGTCGGTTGTCTGCAGCCGCGCGCGTGCACCCCTATACCCTGCATTTGAATAGCGGCTGTGCGTTGAGGCAAACTACCTTGCCACTTCTCCCTCTATATAATATTACAAAGCCATAGAGGCTGGAGTCCTGCCTAACTTCTCCCGCCATTAGCCTCGTTTCACCATATCACCAGCAAAAACGCATGTCGGAACTTTCCCGCCTGGGTCGGAGCTGCGTCAGATGTCGATCGGGAAAAGTGCCATGTTCAGCTGCAAAATCTGGTGGCGGCCCTTGCAGCTTATGCACCCGGTTAGGAGTCGTCTGTGATTTTCACCCTCCGACTCGAGTAAGCACTACTCTCAGTCATGTCTCTTCAGATGAATGAGGCACATGATCTGCACGCTCTCATCACTCATTCCACACGTATAGCGTGAACCGGTCCCAGGCGAGGTTCGCAACAGAACAAGAACGCACAGAGGGCGACGGAGGCGGGACCGGACGGACGATTTTCCGGTGCCTGAGCCAGCTGGTTTGAGGACAGCATCTGATCCGGAAGCCATCGACCTCCCCAGCACCGGCCTCCTCAATCTCGCCGCCCTCTCCGACCCGTTCCCGCCCAATTCGTTCGCCAGAGGTTCATGGGACTTGGACGGCATTCTACGCTTCTACCAGGCTCCACCGGAGCTGGACAGCGATCCTCGGGCATCTGATGCCGTTGCCAATCCAGTTGAGCGTGATAGGCAATGCAGTCCTGTTCTGTGGGTTGGTGAGAGCGGCCAAGTCGCAACCCATGTCGTGAACTACCCACGCGAGACAATTGAACCTAAGCTGGCTCCATTTGCTAAGCTAGCTAATTTCAACCCAATATCTGTCCCGGGAGCCTTCGACCTCCCTGACCTCAGCTCCCTTGACCTTCCCTCCATCCCCCCTAACCTCCCCTCCCTCGCTGCCCTCTCTGACCCGTTCCCACCCGAACCGGTGGTCCCAACTCCCCAAGCAGTTTCTCCCGTCAACTACCCGGGCGGGAGCCGTGTTACTCCTGTATGTGAGACAGCCGAGGTTGAGTTGGCTTCGTTTGATTGCTATAATCTCACCCAACAAATCTCCTCGATGCGCCAAGTCGACAAAGGGGGATACTCCCTTGTTTACCGAGGTACACGGGTGCCCAAATCTCTGGACAGCCGGACTCGGACCAACTCCCAGTTCGCTGTCGATCCTGAATACATCCAGGAAGTTGCCGTGAAAGTACTCCATGCGGTGTCAAATCCTGAGGCCAAACAGTGGAAGGTGGGTAGGTTTGTGTAAGAACGGTACTGCCAAAATGACGCTTAAACTTCAGCGCCTGAAAAGAGAGATACGAGTGTGGTCATGTCTGAGCCACCCCAACCTAGTTCCGCTCCTCGGCTATGTAGATGGTGACAATGGCCTTGGTTTCGTTTCTCCATGGTATCCAGAAGGGAACGTTATCAACTTCATTAAGAAACATCCTAGTTCAAGTAGAGACCTAATCGTGGGCTTCATCTTCCTATTTCTCATGTTACAAGAACTAATGGACATTTCCCTAAGTGTATCGACGTAGCTGCGGGACTAGAATATCTTCATTCACGGAACCCACCGATTGTACATGGTGATATCAAGGGAGTAAGTGGTCCACTTGCTCTCACGTTCCGATGTTGAAGTGTTTCAGCAAAATATTCTGATCGCTTCGGATGGACGTGCTTCGATCTGTGATTTCGGCCTATCGAGGATCTTGGACGATAATCCCACTGGATTTACATCTACTGTGGTTGGAATGACCCTTCGCTTCTCAGCGCCCGAATTGCTGGATGGGGGTGAGAAGACAATGGAAACTGATGTTTATGCTTATGGGTGCACTTGCATTGAGGTGAGAACTCCAATTTCCGTTGATTGTTAATTTTTACGGGTCTGAGACTTTTTGCACCCAGATATTGCTAGGGAAACCACCGTATGAAGATATCCGCAGCGACATGGCCCTGATGAAGGCGGTTGCAAGTGGCACGCCCCCTATCTCTCATGAACAGCTCAAGGAGTGTAATTCATGCCTCCCGCTTCATATTTTAAATCAATGTTGGAGTAGTGGACCACGCGAGCGACCAGGGACTGAGGAGTTGGCAAAGACGTTTAGGGATGCGTTTGGCTTGTGAGATATGCGAGGAGGGGGCTGTTAAATCGATTGCTTGCTAAAGAAGGAGAGCACTTCGAAATACCAATATCGGACCATTTTCCCCACGGGCTTAATGTAATGGACATATGCAGTCACTTTGGTATTAATATATTAAGTAGTCCTTTTTTGTCTTAATTTACCTGCCAACCCAACACGTTGTTGTCACGTACCTCCTCTGCTTTCTCCCGACTACTTATATCTGCGAATTCATAGGACCATCACTTCACTTATGATCTCAAGACCGAAAGTTGTTTCGCTAAAGACTCTGCACCATACCCTGTCTCTGTGTCCCACTGCTCCGACGAGATCCCAGAATACCATGGTCACATCGGAAACATGAGGGTCAGTCTTCGTTCCCAAAGGACGCCACCCAATGGAACCATCCTTACGCTATTCCCAAACTTAACAAGGGGAAGATCTCCAACAATATAATCAAAGGAAATATCCAGTCTGGCCCTCAGCAAACCCATCTCGGTATCCTTATCTATTACTGCGTCACAAGGAAATTAACAGTACTAGTGCTTCAAGTCACTCTTAAACCACCATGCACTAAGGATCGGGCTGAAATATATTGAGGCGCGCTGCAAGGTCACCTCACATTTAACCTTGCACCTCCATTAAATCTGAGTGCCGCACCCGATACTATTTTGTGTCCCACTTGAAACCAAGACAACTACACTCCAGCGCTCCAACGTATACAATGTTGAAGGCGTATCTCTGTAAGCGCGATCAGTCATGGCACACACGCACACACACATCAGATTCCAACAATTTTGCATAAACAAAACTCCAAAACTTGTCACCGCAACGAACCATCCAATTCCCTAATTTCAGGCAATCCTCTCATCATATTCGATCACCCATGAGATGCCTACCTTCGTATGCCTGCCAAACACCATGCTCATGCCGGCCGCATGGCCGTTGTCGCCTAAGGAGCAGTACTTCGGCTTCTGATTCGGGGATTTCGGAGGTGGGGGATAAGAAGACTATGTGGGGATAGAAGGAAAACCTAACCATAACTCTAGCGAGATATGGCATGCTCCAAGTTCACACATAGTCTCTTATCCCCTACTGCTGCTGCTGAATCCTTCCACGTTTTCCCTGGACTCTGTAGTGGCATGTGGCGGTTGGTTGTTGTAGGTCAACTCAAGTCGGCCGTTCTTCGGTGCCTCTTTCGTGCATCACATCCACGCACTGTGGTGACAAACGTTTGTCATACATTCACATTGCCTCATAGGGTTACATAAATACGTGAAGCGCCGCCGTAGCCTCCTGCCTGATCAGGACTTATTCAAATAGCTGACTAAAACCTCGTGTTCGACAGCTACCGCATAGGTTTCCATCCCAGAAGATTTCCCAATATACCGCCAACATAATCTACGATGGGCTGCTGCGACTGTCTCATCGGCATCCTCTGCTGTCCCTGCTGGTTGCTCATGTGCTGCTGCAGCCACGACCCCGAACCGGTGCGTGAACTCGGCCCCAACAGGCCAAATAGTCCCATTCTGAGGAGTGATGAAAGGAGTCGGGCTTACCCTCCTCAACCCCTGCCCTCGATTAATCGCTTAGAAAACCCTGCTGCTTCTGTAGGTGTAGTAAAGGAAGCGAGGGAGAGGGGGAAGGAGAGGGTAAGGGAGAAGGTGGTGAGGAAGGCGAGGGAAGAGAAGGAGAGGGAGGGAATAGAAAGGCAGGGGAGGGAGGTGAGAGAGGTGACAAGGGAGAAGGCGGCGAGGAAGGGGAGGGGGGAGAGGGAGAGGAAGAGGGAGCAAAGGGCGGGGGAGAGGAGGAAGGCGAGGGAAGAGATGGAGATGGAGGAGATGGAAAGGCTGAGGGAGGAGGCGAGAGAGATGGAAAGGCAGAAGGAGGTGGTGGCAGGGGAGGAAGGGCCGGGGAAGGAGCCAGAGCCAGAGGATGCGACTATGTTTGGCTGCCCTAACCTCACTCAACATATCTCTTCAATGTACCAAGTCGACAAAGGAGGATACTCGATTGTGTACAAAGGTATATGGACTCCTGATTCACTGGGCACCCAGGTCGGCATTTTTTTTTCCCTTGGTTGGAGTTAATTCTAAACGCTTCCAGGAAGTTGCCGTGAAAGTGCTCTTGTCCTATGCAAAGGACTTAAACCCCGAGGCAAAACGTTGGAAGGTGGGTAGACCTGTACAATGATGATAATATTCAGCCCGAGGTAACACTTGGACCTTAGCGCCTGACGCGAGAAATACGAATATGGTCACGTCTGAGCCATGTCAATCTAGTTTCACTGCTTGGCTACGTGAATGATGACTATGGCCTTGGCTTTGTCTCTCTGTGGTATCCAGAAGGCAATGTAATTAATTTTATCAAGAATCGTCCTAGTGCCAACAGAGACGTGATCGTATGCATCATCTTCCTATTTCTTACTTCGAGATTGATGGACATTTCCCAAGTGTGCAGACGTAGCTTCAGGATTGGAATATCTTCATTCACGGAACCCACCGATTGTACATGGTGATATCAAGGGAGTAGGTAGTTTGCTTGCTTTGGGAATGGTTGGGATTTTGATACTGAACTCCTTCAGCAAAATATCCTAATCACTTCAGATGGACGTGCTTCGATCTGCGACTTCGGCCTGTCAAGGATTTTGGATGATAAGCCCACTGGATTTACATCCACAGTGGTCGGAATGAGCCTTCGCTTTTCAGCTCCCGAATTACTGGACAGTGACGAGAAGACAGTGGAAGCCGACGTTTACGCATATGGGTGCGCTTGCATTGAGGTGAGAGCTCCATCCCTCGTAATCTTTGGCGAGTTTGAGACTTTTTCGTCCAGATCTTACTAGAGAAAACACCGTATGAAGATATCCGTGGCGACGGGGCTGTTGTAATGGCGATTGCAAGTGGCACTCTGCCTATCTCTTCCCAACAACTTAAAGAGTGTAACTCGCTCCTTCCACTCCGTATGTTAAGTAAATGCTGGAGGAAGGAGCCGTCCAGACGACCACAAGCTGGAGAGTTAGCCGAAGCATTTCGAGGCGCTCTCGTGAGCCATGCAAAGCCAAATCAAACTCCTACACATCTCGACGATCGGTTGCGGCCGTGAAGCCCGTGATCTTCCTCTCATATCATTATCACTTTCTTCGCCAATGGATACAAAGATGTAGGGGACCGTTGTTGACTACTTAGCTGGTTGTGAGCCATACGAGCACCCAATATCGAATGCGTAATCACGGACATCAAATGCGGGGTTCAGCAATGTCAGTCTCAGTTCTGATTCATCATATGCTATATACACTATCTTCCTTAGCCAGCACCAGAGGCTTCGAGCGTCGATCGAATGACGTCACTTTTCCACTTCATTTCCCATGCTGATTTCAAATTCTCCACAACTGATTAAACGTTGGCGAGGGGTGGCCCAACGTGGTTTTGAGAGGACACATCTTGATTCCGGATATGGCACCATAGATTGCATAGTCTGCTTTCACATCATTTCATTCGGGGTCTTAAAAGCAGTAGATTTTTACTTAACTCATGTCATCTTGCTCGTTATTTCCCTTACCGTCCTGACAGGATGTTCCTACACGGCTGGTGATGATCGCTTTCCTCCGACATACCGGAACAGCTCTCCGCACGCCACCATGCGAGCGCATTCACTTTTCCTCAAGGAGATCTCTCCCCCGACACCTCATAGAAGGCCTGAGTATCCTACAAAGCATAATAGGTTGGTTCGGGGCTAGCCTCATACATGTCTGCCAACATGCCTCTTCCAGCAAGCGAATTGAGGAAAAGACAAAAGAAATTGATTTGGATGATTGGCGGGTGCGTTGGGTCATTGCATTCGGAAGTGTAAGTCTGGACGGTGCAAGGTTTTGTAAAACGCGAGAGTCTGCGAAGGGATTGGGAGATTGATATTGGTGAAGGAGAGATGATCGAAAGTGTGCGGTTTGTTACAAAATGCGCTCACTTGGTCGTGCCCGTAGTCAAGCTCCTGCTTCCGTGCCCGCCTTTCACTTCACCTCAGCTCGCCGATCGTCCAACAGTAGACTATTGAAGGTCGAGTTGATTTCCGATTCCTATCTGTCGCGCATCGCATGCTTGCATCACCATGCGCCTCACTTTCCCCCGTGCACGTGAGTTTGTTCTGTAGTAAGTAGCACGTCTAAGATGCTAGATTGAATTCTCGCCGAGCTCCGATCTATGCACGTCCACCTGTTCTGCCACATGCGGAGCCCTCACCAAACCAGGACTGCGATTCTCTTGGTGGTGCCCTCACGCACATCTCTTCTAAAACTCTCATGGCAATGCCCAGGAAGTGGATGCTAAGCCGAAGAACGTCGCACAGGAAGGAGCTACTAGTAATTTGGATAGAGAAGTAAGTGGGCAGAGGCTACGAGAATCATCAGAGCGTGCCGGTTTGTGGAGAATAACGGAGATGCACTGCATTGTAAGAGTCCGCAAGGGTGGGCTACTTGTTTTGAAGGCTAGAGGGACCTGGCTGCTGAACTGAGGATCGACGTCAAGAGAGCAAGATCCTTTGTCTGAAGGAGAGACCCGTTTCCACGCCACTTTCACACCGGACCGCCTGCCTGTCATTCTTCCACCGAGTTTCAGTTGACAACTAGTATGATCTTTTTTCCTTCCCCATCTCGACCACTTACTGCCTGCATCATGTACTTCACGATTTCCTGGAGATCATGTTGTGAGAAAATGAGACACCACTTTCGCTAGTGTTAGTCAATCCTTTTTTGCGAACCCCAGCCTCTACGTATAAACTCAATTGAGTGACTCTTCGACTGGCATGGTCCAAGCTCGTTATTGCCTTCTCTCTCAGGTTGCAGCATGACCACCGTAGCTGGTATGCACACAGGCACACGACAATGGCACCCGAACGATAGGGTGGTAGTGGTTCCAGGATGTTGTGCGAACGGCTGAGGACCACTTATGAATACCGGTCATTATTCAAGCGGCAATTAAGATGCTTACCGACGTACAGGGGAAGTATTCTTATAGAGGCTGGTACCCTGCCTACAGGGGAAGTACTCGTTGTCCAAATCCGATTCAGGGATATAGTGGACCATTTGCAGGAGACGCCTTACTGCTATCTACTTCGCCACTGTCACCGAATATTTATGGAGGGTGATGTGCAGTGAGATTCGGTCGCACGTCCTGGCCCCTTTTCAATTCATGGGGATGCCGAGGGCCTCGATAAGACTCATCAAGACTCGACTAATTGTTAAAAGACATCGAAGGAATGATTAGGCGCTTGACCACGAATACTCGAGGAGAAGGTAGTTCACAGTTGGCCTTGTCTTTAGCAATATGGGTTTCAGAGAAAACGGCAGCAGGGCTACAGAGTTTCCCAACAGAGTGATTTGTGATTACATGGCCCGGGAGTGGTAAGTATGCATCAGAGTCTGGGTATGCATATACTTGAATGAGATGAGGGAGCGGCATGATCCTCAGATAGCGGTGGCGCGCGGCCAATTAGAATTTCAAAAGCATAAATGAACCCTGGCAGCGCGCGCAATATGAGTACAAAAGGGGAACACCTGCATCTGCCCCGCCGCATCCCCTCCCCTCAGCAACGCAGCAGGATGGTTCCCCACTTCCGTCGAAATGGCCTGGAATGTCGTAGGCCTGGGACTATGGAATGTACGGTCCACCGATTGCAAGGAAAATGGTGTCAAGATTGGAAATACTCCCTGCGCACGGCCTTCCCTGGCTTCTGCCTTTGCCACGGGTGCCTCAGATATAACGTTTTGTGTAGGGGTCCGGGCAACTGTCTTTCTCAGAGACTGACTGCCGGTGAAGTCTCAATGGATCCAGGCGGTTCTGCAGGTACGTCGATATAGGGGGTTTGCAGTGCATCAGGGTCTTGGCGCCTCCGCAGATACACACAGTGACACGTAGCATAAAATCTACAAAGTAATGTATAACTACATCTCTGTATACTAAAAGCATCTTTCCCCCGCGCCTCTCCCCAGGGCAGATGGCGGCTGGCTTCCTCACTGAGGCACGGGCCCACTGCGCTGGGGCACGGGCACACTGGATGGACGTGACCCCTTGGGCAGATTAAGTGTTCACTGTTAACTTGTCGCCCGTTATATTGAGGGCGTGGCCATAGCGCCAAGGCTTGATCAGCAGATTTAAGGCAAGGGCGCAGTTTTGTGTCATTACAGCAGTGAGAGACAAGTTTGCCACCATCCATGATTGTGTGTTAAGTTGAGGAGTGGGGTCGCATTTCTATGGTTGCTCTGCTTAAATAGTAGCCATACGCTAAGGGCTGAGCCAGCCATCTTGGGGTGAGAATTGTGAGCACTGATATCTTAGTGACAGATGCGTGATCGTTGTGCGGACGTGAGAGACTGGTCTTGTGGATATAGCAATAATTGATGCCTTCCCACGTTCTCAATATGGCGCTTAAAAACCTGCCAATTTGGTCGGCCACCAAGTTTCGCCCCACAGGTGCACGCACATCACAGGCTTTTTGACCCCAACTGAAGTTTCTTTTTTTCTGCTGATTATTATTAGCGCTGGCGGGATTGTTTACGACCGGTCACGGGGGTTGTTCTTCGACAAGTCTTTGGCACATGCCAGCACCGCAAATCGATCGAAATAGCACGTCACAGTATATCGGTTGCACAGGCGATCATATTGCACTGCCGACCCCCCACCAGATCTAGATGTTGCCTAGCTAACTTGCTCATTTCGTTGCAACAGGGATTTTGGCCGGGATTTTCCGTACACGCGCGAACTCTGGTGAGTCGTAATTCACCCCCCCGCTTTATGACTTTTTTCTATCCATTGCGATCTATTGCATTCCCACCGTTGCTGCCGCCCACCGCTAATACTCCACAGGAAAGATAGCCATCTTCGATTGCTTAAATACGAACTTAATCTCATGGTTGGACCGAAAAGTTGATGAAAGGCTACTTTTGGCACAGGATTCCATACCAGTGAGTCTTCTCGGCTTCCAAACGCACGGTGCATTGAATTTTTCCAAATGCAGGCACGTCAGGAGCCTGTCGATCTTGTTCCAGGAACTGGCGATCACTCTCCCTGTTCTACAGTGGCACCGCTTCAAAACTACACCAGCAATCCTTCAGCATCTGATGCTGCTCCCACTAGAGGGATGGCAGTTGACCGCTACAGGCAATGCGACCCTACTCCGATTCTTATTGGTGACGAAACAGGCCCAACCATCGCTCGCGTACTTCCACTCGACATGGACCACCGGAATCCTGTTGCTCCTGAGGCAGTTGCGGGGGTTGAGGGGTTGGCTGCGTTTGGTTGTTACAATCTCACCCAACAAATCTTCTTGATACGCAAAGCCAATGAAGGGGGTTACTCACTTGTGTACCGGGGGATACGGATGTTTGATTCGCGATTTCACCAGGTCAGTGTCTGTTGTCTCCATGCCTGCAGCCCTTGATCTTTGAACGCCTCCAGGAAGTTGCTGTGAAAATGCTCCGCTTATCTCATTCTCATTCAAGGAATTCGGACCCCCAGGAGAAGTGCTGGAAGGTGTGTATGCTTGTGCAAAGACAATCCTGCCTAAATCATGCCAGCACTTCCAGCGACTGAAAAGAGAGATGCGTGTGTGGTCATGTCTCAGCCACCCCAATGTCGTCCCACTACTCGGCTATGTGGATGATGTCAGCGGTCAAGGCCTTGTCTCTCCCTGGTATCCGGAAGGGGATGTAATCAAGTTCATCAAGAGTCACCCTAGTGCCAACAGGGATACAATTGTGCGCACCACCCCCTACTCCCTATTTTTAAGCTCGGGAGAACTGACGGCATGTCCAAGTGTGCCGATGTAGCTTCAGGTTTAGAATATCTTCATTCACAAAACCCGTCGATTGTGCATGGTGACATGAAAGGGGTAAGTGTTTTATTTGCTTTTAAAAATGATTAGGATCCTAAAATTGAGAACTTTCAGGAAAATATTTTGATCACTCTGGATGGGCACGCTTGCATCTGCGATTTTGGCCTCTCAATTATCTTGGATAACAACCCCACTGGATTTACTTCTTCAGTGATTGGAATGACTCTTATCTTTTCCGCCCCGGAATTATTGGATTGTAGCGAGAAGACGACCGAATCTGATGTTTATGCTTATGGGTGCACTTGCATCGAGGTGAGAGGTTCAAAATCCCGTTGAGATTACAATATATACGAGCTGAAGACTTTTGCATCAAGATCCTTCTAGCGAAAAAGCCACACCAAACCATCCATAACCAGCCTGTAGGCGTCATTGTCGAGGCGATCCGAAACGGTATGCCACCTATCTCCCCTGAACAGCTCGAACAGTGCAATTCGCTTCTCCCACTTCACCTAATAAAACAATGCTGGAGTCTGGAACCATCGGATCGACCACGGGCTAAACACTTAGCCGAGGCCTTTGGAGGTGCTCTTGCGAGCCACGCAAAGCCGGAAACTACATTGTGACCCCTGCGACCATACATAACACCATATTTGATCTCTCTAGCTTTCATCTGCTTCATTTGGACCGTTTTACATGATCTGAATGGCTCTGTATGCAATCCGCTACTTTGCATTAAGCTCAAAGACAACCATTATCTAACTTGACACGGTACCACTCCGTAATCGCTCCCTGGTTCTTGTTTCAAATCCTCCAAAGAAACCTCACAAGTTCCATCGTGGCGCGTTCACCATCACGGTCCACTTTCCTTACAGTAGTGCGCTTGACGTTATGTTCAAACTGGGCACATGAACGAAGACTAAGTTTTCGTCACCAAAAGTGAATTGAGCGTGTCGACGCCCATTGTGAGCTTGTCACACGAAGGGTTGAGACCCTTATCATCATTCAGGCGTAGTCAGCACCATGCCATTGATTTCGTTGGTCCATTACTTTATCGTCCACCCCTACACAGGGTCTCGGAACCAAGTCGTACGACACTCCAAAATAATTTCTGTTCGTGCTTTGTATATACCTGGAGCTTATCGGTTCCACCTTGCGGCAACGCTTCATTCGGACATCTCTCGAGTCGATCCGATCAGCTAGCTCGCGCTCATATGCGTTCTCATACTCAGTAATGGATGATGATGACGGAATCCCACTTCCAGTGAACTATATCAAAGTTGGCCATAAAGGAGCTGGAAAGGGTGGTAGTAGGTGCTGGTGACCACGGTCATCGTGGATCAATCAAGCTGCTAGCTTCTGTAGCTTACAACTCATGCATTCGGGACTGTTGGCCGCTCTTCTAAAGCTGCATCTCGAATGGCAACGTAGTCCTGCTCTGACTGGCGACGGATTTTGACTGCCACAAGTCGACATAGAGGATACTCGCTCGTCACGAGTGCCCGATTTGCCGGAGATACTTCATGTCAGCATTTGTTTCCCCTCAGTTCGTATCTGATTCTGAACGCTCCCAGAAGTCGGCATGAAACTTTATCCCATTCAAGGGATTTGAACGGACGCTTGGCCTTCAATACCTTGAAGTAATCGAGAGCTACGAGCGTGGTCACGATTAAACCACGCCAGGTCGTTCCACTGTTTGGCGACGTGGATGATGTCCTAGAGTTTCGTCTCTCCCTGGTACACGGGGGTGAGGGGAACCTGATCAAAATCTTGAAAGTTATCTCAGTGTCAACAGAGACACGATCGCGTGCGTCTTCTTCCTTCTATCTCCCTATTTTTTAGATTTTGACGGGCATTCCCAAGTGTACCGACATAGCCTCAAGATCAAAATATCTTCCACCGTGGCTCTTTCCAGCCTCCTGCGTTCGTTCATTAAGTTATGCCAAGAGCAAATTACCTAAGCATGTCATTTGACAGTCCCTTGTGGCGATAGAGAAATTCCGATATACTTATTCAACCCCGTTACTGGGTTGTGTTTGGCTTCCGCTGGCGGAATTCTCCTACAACAACCGCATCCACTCATCCACCCACCGAACCCCTTTCGAACTTGACACCGGCCAACACCCCAGGATGGGGACAGAGCCCACACGCACGTCCGAGGTCGCACCGCAGGCGCCTTCATGCCATTCCAGTTTCCGAGCCACTTCTTTCAAGCGAGCTTATCGTTAGTGATTCCTCTTTTATTTTCAGGAGGCTGTGAGCTAGAGGCACGTGTGGGACATGTGGCATGGGGTTGTTAATCGCCAAGTTCTTATCTACCCCTGATACGTTGCGAGGTCGATTTCCGGACTAATGTCCCCCGAGGTTGGGCCACACAATGTGGGCGACTTCATCAATGCGGCCCAGCGCTTCCGTCTCGAATATCAATGGGTATGTATTTTGTCAACACGTTGTACTTAATTCCCAAAGGGTGACGTTCCGCCTTGCCTGCTGCTTTAGGTTGACCATGGCTACTACAGGAACTCTGAAGGTCGCTTTATTCATCAATCGACTCTCTATGGTGGGTGACCATGCATTTTGCACCAAGTCGCATTAAAGCGCAGCCGCCTAACGCAGTGCTTGGTCATAAGTTCACGGGGACGGCGAACAAAAAAGGGCGTGCAAGGGAAGAAGCTGCAGGACACTTCTTTTCCACCTTTCCGCAATATCGCTCCCGCAGCTTCAGTGACCAAAACGCCAACGAGCCAACCGGACAATCCCACGGTTTGTACGGGCTGACGAATGATCAAAAATTCCTACCACTGAAGTATGAACGCACCCTTAGGATCGGAGGAGCAAGTGCCAGTGATGCGTTGGGGACTGGCAGTCGCTCTCCCTCTATGACAGCTCCCTGTCTAAACCAGGAGAGCGACCCTGGAGCGTCCGAAGCTGCTCCTCGAAGGATGCCGGGTGAGGACAGTAGACATCACAGTCCCGTTCTGAGTCACGATGAAATGGGCCTAGTCACAACTCGTGGGATTCCTCCCCTACCTCCAGTCAACCACCCAAGGGGGAGTCATGTCACTCCTGTATGTGAGGTAGTTCAAGGGGCTGAGGAGTTAGCTGCGTTTAGCTGCAATAATCTTACGCAACAAATCTCCTCGATGCGCCAAGTCGACCAAGGAGGATACTCGCTCGTGTACAAAGGCATATGGGTGCCAGATTCGCCGGAGGCAACCCAGGTCAGCACTTGCGTTGTCCTTGCCCGTAGTTGACCCTAAGCGCTTCCAGGAAGTTGCCGTGAAAGTGCTGTTTCTATCCTATACAAGGGATTGGAACCCAGAATTAAAATGCTGGAAGGTGCGTGGGATTATGCAAAGGCGATGTTGTGAAAGTAACGCTTCCCATAAACCTCAACCAGCGACTCCAAAGAGAGTTACGAGTGTGGTCACGATTACACCACACCAACGTGGTTTCATTACTTGGCTACTTCGACGCTGGCTGCGGCTGGCGGGGCTTTGTCTGTCCCTGGTATCCTGAAAGAAATGTAATCATGTTCCTCAAGAAGTATCCTAGCGCTAACAGAGACATAATTGTGCGTGTCTTCTTATGTCTTCCTTCGGGGGGAATTGACGGACGGTTTCAAAGTGTGCCGACGTAGCATCAGGATTGGAATATCTTCATTCGCGAAGTCCGCCAATTGTACATGGTGACATGAAAGGAGTATGTGGTCCCAATTATTTTGAAATGACCGAGACTCTAGCACTGAAGCCTTTCAGGAAAATATTTTGATGACTTTAGACGGGCGCGCATCCATCTGTGATTTCGGCCTCTCGATTATTCTCGATGGCAACCCCACTGGGTTTACATCCTCTGTGGTTGGAATGACCCTTCTGTATTCAGCCCCCGAATTACTGGAGCGTAACGATAAGACTGTAGAGGCTGACGTTTACGCTTATGGATGCACTTGCATCGAGGTGAGAAGCTCGAGCCTTCATCGGATGTCAACATGGATGAGTTTGGGGCTCTGTAGATCCTACTAACGAAAAGGCCGTACGAGAACATCCGTGACCCAGTGGCTCTTATTAAAGCGATTGAAAGTGGCGCGCCACCTATTGCTCCTGAACAGCTCAGAGAGTGCAACTCGATCCTCCCACTCCACTATTTGGTCCAATGTTGGAGCATGGAACCATCAGATCGACCGCAAGCCGGAAAATTGGCCGAAGCTTTTCGAGGTGTCCTCGGAATCCACGAAGTACCCGAATCAAGCCCTTACAAAAATGTAATCAGAGATGGCGCTAAGTGCAGCGACACTGATCTCAGTGCTAATGAATCGTTGCCGCCATGAAGCTCGTTACTTTGGCCATATGTAAATTGGGCCACCACGTACTAATTTGCTCCGACGGGACCATTTTCTTCGCTTGGATCAGTAGCCCGAATGGTCATGTAAGCAAAACTATCCTAGTCCCATGGCCAGGACTCCCCAACCATTGGGCGTATCGCTAGGTTGAGGACCGTGAGTGGATTCCGCCACCATTTAGAAGCAAGGGTCACTTGGGTATAATGCTAGACACGTCATTCCAGTCTGGTTATTCTCTCTTCTGTCTGTCCTTCTGACTCCGGGTCCCCGAGCTCAGCTGTATACATGTCACTCCAGAACTTTCATCGATCCTCCTTATACATATCACAGACATTGCATTTGACACTTGAACACCGATCCCCTTTGAGGCCCGCAGCAATGCTTCAGCTGGGTGAAAGCCTAGCTTCTGCCCCACCTAAAATTTGACGAAACAAGGTTATGCCACTACGACAGATGGGTTCCACGATCCCCACGACGCCCTGAAGTCTGACCCGTCCAAACGGCGGGAGTCTACACACAGCATCACATATGTACCAAACGCAACCTTGAATCGATGAATACCCTAAAAACAAAGAATCTCAACCACAACGAATTGACTGCTGTCCCGCCATGCGACATTGTGGGAATGCCAAAGTCTAATGATCTATACATATAATATGGAGGGGAAAAAAAGCAGATTACAGATCGCAATACATGCGGGAGAACGCGCTGTTGAGACCGATACCAGCCGCAAATGAATGACCGATGTGCAAGCGCAAAGTCAATAATGAAGCGTGAAGTGATCACCCGATATGGGACACGTGTGTCCAAAACCATTGGACAGCTCAAAATACGTCATTCTCTCCGGTGGTGGCCAAAATTAATCCATGTGCGGTTTGGACACTGGATATGTCGTCCGTCGACGCTTCGTCTTGATCATTGGCCCTGCATATCCCTGTGAAAGTCGACCCCATCAGCGCCGACACAACCAATCGCCCACCCACATAGCAAAAACACCGAGAGAAAAAAATCGGTAACTTGTTAATATCGCGAATCACCCCAAGATAAGGGATCACGCACAGTGAGAGGTTTCAGAAGTGTCAATACCCCACTGATAATCACCAATACCACATGCAGAAGAAGTAGAAGGATTCCAGGGATGGCCGTTTTAAGGAACCACCATATCAAGTAACTCAGTTCGAAGAACATATCGAGGAGAAAACCGCCAATGATGCTGAAGAATCCGGTTTCTTGAGGGATAGTTTGCACTGTGCTGGCCAATTCGATCTGTCGTTGTCGTGATGGCGTGGGTGAACCAGAGGAGGATGGCACGTAGGATTGAGATAAGGCGATGTTCAGTAAAAAAGAATTGGGGTTAGCAGGAGGCGACCATGATTGAACATAAGCAGTAGTAGAGGATATGCGAGAAGAAAAGGGGGAAGTAGCAGATACAGGGGACGAATGCAGATGTGAAGAGGATATCGGATACTCATGCCGTAAAGGTGAGGAAGTAGATACATGAACGGTGGAAGGGGTAATAGCAGAAGTGGCATGCAGGGATGACGATGTGGATCGAGAAGATGAAGGCAGGTTATTATTGGGAGAGTGGGAAGAAGAGTTACGCAGAATGGAGCGAAGTTGGGGACCTACGAGTCGATCTGGGTCGATAGGCAGCTCACGAGGCAACGAATGATCCACATGTTCATCGTTTTCAGCAGACGTCGGTTCAGCAGAGGTCGACAATTCGATATCGCTTGGGGGAGGGGAAGGATAGCCTAGCCGTTCATCGCCTTCCTCTTCGAGACGCCCTTTCAATTTGGACGCTTCGAAGGCAGAGCCTGCGACGACGCCGACAAACGCGCAAGCAAATACGATCAGCTCATGAGACGCGTGAGCAAGCAACTTCTGAGTGCTCACCATTGATTTCAGACTCAGTTGGCGTGAGCGAGACCTTGGGACTAGCAATTTCAACCCCAGCGCCTAGAGCCTCTTGACTGATGCTGTGCAAAGGAGAGTGTGTATCTAACGTATGAACCAGTCGGTCACTAGGTTATCAAAACATAAAAGCCAGACACGACAAACCTGCCATGGCCGTTGTTGACGAGTTGGCGAAAGTGGTTGGGGAAGGGTGTTGTGAGAGCGGAGTGGAAGTCAAGAAGGGCTCGGCCCCACGGAGTTCCCCTTCCGCCATTGATTCAATTGGACTCTCCACGTGACTATCCTCATTCCCGAGATCTGGCGGCGCTGTGGAATCCTTCCTTGCTTCTGAACCCTTCGACTCCTCCATCAAATTTTGAGCCTGAGCTATCGGAGATGCAAACACAACCTTCTTCCCGCCACTTAGGGATCTAGTCGGCAATTGCGCCGACCTTGGGATATCACCATCACTCGTCGATCGCACACCGGCAGCATTCCTGGTCTCCTCAGCGATCGCTAAATCCGTGGCTTCTTTGGAAACAAGTCCAAAAACTGAGTTGTCCCCACCGGTCCGGCCGATTCCGAATTTGGGTGACAGTGGTTCCGCACCGAAATTCGGTGAGCCGTCACCTCTTGGTACCTCACTCTCAATAGCTTGTACCGCATCTTGGGGACGTGAAACTCTGGCCCCGGCGCGAGCTTCCGAATTGAGCTGGTCCGAGCCGGTCCGAGTTTGCGCTTGAGATTGCTGGAGGCTGCTTGCGCCCGCATCTGAGCCCAACTCAACATCCAGAACATGAGCAGCCCCATCATTCGACTGCACTGTGCTCTCAGCGCGACCTGCCTCATCAGCAACTGATGTGGAAGACTGAACGCCACTCGATCGAACATCAGACGTCGCATCAACCTGATTCGCCGCTGCTTGGCCGATGTTTTTTGAAATGTCGGGAGTCCCCGCCTGAGGTAACTCCGCCGTGAAACTGGACGCGACGGCAGCAATGTCACTATCTGCAGGGGTCACTTGCGGCGGGATCGTGCTGTCAAGCGCGTTTGCGGGGTCATGATCTCCCTTGGCAGATGCGGTTTCAGTAGAGTCCGCAATTGCTTTGCCGACCACATTCTCTTCCTCAGAACTGACAACTCGGAGCAAGTCCACAGGAACGCTGGTCTCGACAACGGTGCCATCAGCCGAAAGAAGGGTCTCTTGCGAGAGAGTACTACTGTCAAGTGCGCCGCGCCCAACAGGAGGCGGCTCAACAGTGCTAATCTGGACGCCAGATCCGACCGGAGATTTGTCGGCGCTTGGCGTCGTGTCGTCACCAGCACCTGCATCTGTAGTTACTCCCATCAGCTGCGGACACAGGGATTCTTCAAATTGACGCTACCTTGTTCTAGTTCTACGCCATCTAATACAGGGGCAGGATCCTTTTCCACAATGGGAAGCTCAGGACGATCCGATGACTCGACACCGATTTCCCCAGCCGGGTCGGATGGAGGGACATTGGATGTAAGGCTGGCGTCCTCGTCCGATACCAATATCTCCCTGGGGAACGCCACATCCGCACTTACTGATCCACCATGTACGGGCAAAGCAGAGGATGAAACAAGGCTCTCATCGACGGAAGGCCCCTCTGCGGATGGTTTGGCTAAATTGACGGAAGAATCTTGAGCAGCAACGTGCGACTTAGCCGATGCGGGATCTTGGACGACTTGGATGGTTGGTTTATCCTCTAGCTGAGACAGCGATTGATCTGCTGCTTGCACCACTGATGTTCGGACGGCCGGTTCCAAGTTATCGCTGCTCACAGTGGGCTCCGCCTTATTGATGTGGTCAGTGATCACTCGAGGCGGCTCAACTTGTTTGTCCGAGTCGATATTTGAGGATCCCCCAATACTAAAAATCGTCTCTTGAAGGTCAGTGTCGTCACCAACTGGACCCGAAGGGGTGGTCGGTGCCGGAGCAGTGGAGTCTTGTGCGTCTGGACCGTGTCCAGAGCCGGTAACTGCACCCGAAGGGGTTGTGTCTGGGGGTAACATCGTCAGCTATGGACATGGCACGTTCCAAATCCCATTACCTTGATTGTCATCCAATCCATCGGCGGACGTGATTATTTCTTCTGGAGGGGGGGCTATTTCTTTAGGAAGATTGGAATGTAAGATAACCTGGTTCGAGGAGCCAAGAACTTCGCGGCGCAAATTTCCATCCCTATCAAGTGCCTCCGAAGGTAATACCGCATGTGCACCGTCTGGTGTAGGCAGGTCTCCCACCGGTGAGACGGATTCCTCATTGACCGAAGACTCTTCTACGGATCGCTCGAGCAAATGAATGGAAGGTTCTTGAGCGGGAGCACGTTCCCCGATTATGGCAGGGGATTGTCCGTCTTCGGTTGTTAATCCCACCGTCGACTGATCAGCCAGAACGTCAACATTTTCTGCTTGGGGGACTTCTCGTACGATC